TTGCATTACTTTCTGCGAACTCTTGAAGAAATTTATCAAAATCATTTAGACAACTATTTGAACCATTTGAACAGTTAAAAAAATTATTTGTTGACACACCTGCCATCTTGACTGTCACACAAAAGTTACAATTTATACATTTAATGTCTCATTTACATATATTTAATACATTTAATATCTCATTTGCAGCATGTTAAAATATAAGTCAGTATTAAAATGTAACTATTTTTATTGCTACGATAATTAATACAAAAATAAGCAAAATATCCATTAATAACAGATTCACAACAATTATTTCCATTTATCCAGTGTAGTTTTAGACATTAAATTAATTGCATTCTCTTGTTCTGCCATTTTTTTAACATTTTCAGAGAAAATGAAATCATTAGTATGATTAACCAAAAGTTTAGCAGATTTAAGTGCTTTTAGCACTAAAAATGTAACAACTTTTAAAAACTAGTTTTTTTTAAAAAAGGGACTTTTTTTATACAAATTTATTTATACAGTACATAGCTATATATAAGACAAACATGTTTATGGCTATAGTTTCTGTTACATTGATAATGCGCTCTAACTTAACCATTGTTTCAGCATCAATTCTTCGAGTAGACTCATAATCATAGTTTGATAAAATCAGACTGATGTAGTAAAATTGTATCCATTGATGTTTGTTTGTCAAGGACACTTTGAGCATTTTGATTTTGAAAGTTTTTTTAAATAAATTTAAAAAAATAAAAATAATATTTGATTATCAAAAATAATAATGAATAGTAATTTTTTACATATTCATAATAATGATAATATAAATGATAAGCTGCGGTGAGAAAATATTAAAGTGCTAAACTAAATAAACGTGCTAAATTTAGCACCAAGTAAATTTTTTTTGCCCTTTTGCTTGAAAGGAGTAACAACCCTTTAGCTCCTTGTCAGTAGACAATGAGCTGTAGCAGCATTTTGGTGAATAATTTTAATGCTAATGCTAATTAAAGTGTAATATGATTTTGCAAACTCATTAAGGGTTGTTCATAAATTACATCACCCAGTTTATGACATTTTTTGACCACCTCCCCCCTTTTCTTTTTTTTTTTTTTTTTCACTTTATAAAGCATCCGTAGCACTTTATTGACTCCCCCCTCCCCAATTTTGTGGTGCAAACTTTTGTGCACCAGCTAAATAAAGTTCTGCACTTGGACCATATAAAGTCAAAGCGCAGAACGTGCACTGCATATAGACTGTTACAGCTGTAACAGTCCGATACAGGCTGTATCTACTCTGTTAATGGAGTGTACACATCAACTAAGTTAGATTTAGGCAAAGTTGATTTTGCAATTAACATGTAGATACATCAACTGAGGGATTTGGTTTGGTCAGATACTCTTTTAGTTAAAAGAAAGTTTTCTCTAGATTTAAAACTAAAAAAAAATGTTGCATCAAAAAATTGAGACCTCCCTTCTCCGTCTTGTAGCAAATTTATGGAAGACCCCTAAGATGACAAGAGTCAATCACAGTTTGCGTAGTAAATTTTGTTTGCTGAGTACTCTTTTAGGGAAGAAATAAAGTCTAGTAGAGATGGCTGGCATTTTATTGTTCAAGTCAGAAGTATTGAAGAACTTTTCAAAGAGATGCTGAGAGTGTCCTCAAATTATTCGAACAGATGGATAGTCAATATGTGGGTTAGGCCAACAAATATTTTTTAAGTTATTAAAAAACTCAAAAAATAAATCACTTTGCATCTTGCATCTTTTGTATCTTTCATATATTGAGGTGAGATGAAGATGTGATAATCCAGCTTTAGTGGATAAAGCTCTAAGAAGTGGAATTTCTTTGGTGGTGTGGTTTTAAACTTTTTCAAGTTTTTTAATGTTGTGTGCAGAAAGAGAATTCCATACAGGAGCAGCATACTTGAGATAAGGTCTGACCAGCGATGTGTAGAGTCTCTTCCAAACTTGTGTGCTTCTGAAACAAAAGCTTTCTTTAGTTGACTGAGGACAAAGTTAGCTTTTGATGATATTATTTCAACATGCATCTTCCATTTGATATTGGAGAAATGAAAATGCTAAGATCTCTTTTGTTGTAAAAGCAATTGAGAAAATGCATCCCTTACTGAGTCAAGATATAGTATTGGTTGTTAGGATTTTTGCTTTTGTTGAAGTCTAAGATGAGTCTCTTTTTGTAGTTAGACATGAGTGCCAGGTTGCATTGCAAGACGTAATTTGATTTATATTGTTCTGTAGCATAATTAGGCTGTCAGGGATCAAGTTAATCAAAATAACTTTGTTGACATCAGCATATAACTTCATTAGATTGCTAACTAGCTCTTTAATGTCATTAATGTATAATGAAGAGTTCCTAGAACATATCTTTGTAGGACACCACTAGTTACTTGTAACCATTCTCAAAGGCGGAACCCATGACAACTCGTTTTGTTCTTTTAGAAAGAAAAAACTTCATCCAATGAAGTAGCATATAAGAGGCACCATAACCAGAAAGTTTGTTGGAGCATAAGAACATTAGGAGGTGTGTCAAACACTTTTTCATAATCTATATAAAAAGCATCTACACTTTAGCCTCTTGCCATTAAATATGAGATCTGATTGACAGTTTCCAGTAAATTGGTAATGCATGATTTATTTGGAACAAATCTGCTGATTTTGGGATTACAGATTATCAGCAGATTGATACTCAGTTAAACAATCTTTTAAAAGTATTCAAAAAATAATTCTGGAATGTGGAATAGTTCAAAATAAAGGACCAAAGATGGCTGCCTTCTATATAGTTAGGATATATAGAAGGCAGCCATCTTTGGTCCTTTATTTTGAAATTCATTTGTTAATTTATTTTTCTTAACCATAAAAAGTTAAGGTTATGAGAAACAATCAGAGTCAGAGTTAAAATTTTATTTTTTAAAACTCTTACAGTTTACAGCAGACAGAAGTTATAGAAATGGGTCTGAAGTTTGATGCATCAAGTTTAGATCCTTTTTTGTAAAGCGGTGTGATTTTAGCCTACAGCCTAGTAGCTGGGACTAGACCTTTAGAAATAGATTTTATAAATATATAAATAATTTGCATATATGTTTATTTTAATATCATACTACTAAATATTTCGGAGGGAAGCAGAGGCCTGAGTAGTAATTTATATAGAAATATTAAGTAGTATTATATTATATATTGATATATATATAGTATTATATGTAGAAAAATGAGAGCTTCCATACTCCCCTAAACGGTTTATGGCTCTCACAAAAGTATAGTTTTTCTTCTCATAAGTATTTTTATTATTGTAACTAAAATAAAAAGCACTAAGTCAATTTTATAAAAAAAAAAAATAATTGCATAATAAACTGCAATGCTTTTTAAAAGGCACAGTTGTTGCCTTTTAAAAAGCATTGAAAAAAAAAAAAATTTAAACAGCGCCGATGCAAATGTTTTTGAGAAGGTTAGTCTAAATAAAATTTTTACACTCTCTAAATTATTGCATAATAATTTTTATTTAATTTATTAAATTATATATTTTATATATTAATTACTTAAAATGCCTGAGTTCTATTAAAATAAGAAAATAAAAAAAAAATTTTATCAGCAATAAAAACGTTTATAGCTCTTTGTCAAATTTTTTATCAAATAAGTAATAGTAATAAATAAATGGATAGCTTGTGTGAAAAACCAAAGGGAACCCTTGTCTAAAGAATTTTTTAATGGCACAATAAATAAAACTTATTATGTATATATTCTTGTAATGTTAATGTTACAAACATATGCTTGTAACAAGTAAAAAACTAAATTTTTTATTTAATAAGCAATTGTTTCAAGACCAAGGCCAAGGCAAGACAAGGTCAAGAGTTTCAAGGTCAAGGACAAAGATTTCAAGGTCTACGCAAACATTTTCAATATCAAAGGCTTAAATTTTGGCCTTCTGTCAGGGCCAATTGTTAACAAAACTGCAGATAGCAAGTGGTGTTACAATAAAACCACATGTTGTGAACCAAGGTTGAATAAAAACAGTAAATAAAAAACTTTTAATAATAAATTATAATTTAATTGTAATAAAAAACTATTTTAATTCAAAAAACTTTTAAAATTCTGTTTTTAATTTAAAAAAAAAATTGAGTGTCTTTCTAAAATCTTTTTAAAATTATAAAATGTTTTAAATAATAAAAACATTAAAATAAATCATGTGCCTTAATATATGGATGTATAAACTAACCATGTCATTGGTTGTTGTTTTAAAATGGCTAGTCAACCAATCATGTTATTTGTTGTTGTTTAAAAATGGCTTTTCAGAAATGGCAATTTAAACCATTAAATAAACTAAAAAAGTTCTAAAGAGTTATTTTTGTTTAAGTAAACAAAAATTACTCTTGTAAACAAAATCATGAAAGAAAGTTCTGAAATTATTATAAAAAAAAAAAAAAAAAGTCAAACATTCTTGTGCTTAAAAATAATACAATTATTTTTAATTGAATAATATATTTATGCATTATAAATTGTTGAAAATTAAAAACTAGCGTTTTTTTTCTTAAGCTTTTATTTTGATAAAATTTATTTTAATAAATTTTGAAAAAAAAAAAATTTTAAAAACCTTTTTATTAAAAATAAGGCTTTTTATTTAAAATAAGGCTAAGGACAAATTATTTAAGTCCAAGGCCAAGGTTTTCAAGTCTTTCAAGGACAAGGCCAAGGTTAGTAATTTCAAGGCCAAGACCATGTTTAAGGACTAACAACTCTGCTTGCATGGCTCACCACGTTCGTTTTAGGAGAGCTTTTCTCTGTTCTTGACTCCTACTACTAATGCTACTACTAAGACTGCTGCTTCTGCTGCTGCTACTACTACTACTACTACTACTACTACTACTACTACTACTACTACTACTACTACTAATACTACTGCTGCTAATGCTACTATTACTAATATCATTACTTCTATTACTGCTACTGCTGTTACTGCTACCTTTAGTAAAATTGAACTTATGAAAAATATTCAAACATTTTTTCTTTTAGATATTGATGCTGGGATCAATGCTAAAATTATTTTCAGTATTTCCAGTTCTAATGAAGGTATACGTATCAATAGCAATAATGGAATACTTACCTTGGATAATAGTTTAGACAGAGAAACAAAACCAGTTATTGAATTAGTAATAACTGCTATAGACCAAGGAACACCTTCGCTTCATTCATCAGTCATCTTAATAATTGTTGTGGTTGATGTCAATGATAACGCTCCAACATTCATTGGAAATAGAAACCTTAGTATTGATGAAAATGTTGAAACTAGAACGCTGGTTACCAAACTTAATGCTGTAGATATTGATGAAGGTTTTTTTTATTTTTATTTTTATTTTTTTTTCTATTTAAAGTGTTTACTTTAATTTTTTTTCTTTTTACAAAAAGAATATTCATTTTCATAGGTCTAAATGCCCAAGTTCGTTTTTTAATCACTTCTGGTAATACAGATGGCATGTTTACTATCAACAATCAAGGAGAGTTAGTTACTCAAAAGCAACCAGATCGTGAAAACATTGATTTTTATAGTCTTAATATAACTGTGCATGATTTGGGCGATCCATCTTTATCAAATACAGCTGTGTATACAATTCAAATCAATGATCTTAATGACAACAGTCCTGTTTTTGATAGATATCGATACATTTTGACTGTTAAAGAAAACCAACTGGTCAACACCATAATTATAAAGGTTGTTATTAGGTTATTCTTATACATTCTTGTAATTTAATTAGTATATAAATATTTCAATATCTTTTTTTTTTTACTTATACTCAATTCTTTAAAATTTAGTTTAATAGATTATAATTTTAATACATTTCTAGTTTAATATTAACCCTATCTAATCATTCAAAGAAATATTAACAAATAAAAAAATAACTAATCAAACATTCAAAATTAATGAAATAATAGTTTGAATTCTATTAATGAAATTTTAAAAAAGTTAAAAGGATTTTATTATTTTAGTAACCATAGCAATGCTTTAATAATCATTAAAATAATTTAGTACCATAGTAATGCCTTAATAATCAAAATAATGTTTTATTAACCATAATATTTTGTTTTATTTCTTTCTATAGTTGTTAATTTGAAAGATTTAATTTTATAAGGTTTAAAAAAAATTATACATAATTATCAGTTTATGCAAAATTTGTTTTTTATTTTTTAAGAATGTTTGAAAGGTTTGTTTCAGTGTTTCCATTTTAATTACATATCTTTTAAAATCTTTAACTTTCATTAGATCAATGCAACTGATATAGATATTGGTATTAATAAAGAGATTACTTACAGAATTTTGGGTGGAAACAAAGAAAATGTTTTTTCTCTTGATCCCAACATTGGAAGTTTAACGTTAATAGCTACTCTTAAATTCAGAAAACAGAAAAAATACACCCTGACTGTTGCTGCTACTGATAAAGGATCACCATCAAGATCTTTTATAACTTTTATTGAAATTACTGTGGAAGGTTTGTTTGTTTTTTTTCTTGTGTTGCACCAAATACAATCTGATAGAAAAACAATAAAATTTTAAACCAACTTGGTTAACATTTTCTTAATAATTTTTTGTATTGCTCATAAAATCATACACTTTTTAAAAAAATGTATTTTTATTTTTACAATTTTTGAAACTCATAAGCAGGCAGTGCTGTACATGTTCTTTAACATTTTTATTGTATTCAAATAATACTAGAAGTTAGTTACAAGAATTTAAAAAAAAATGGTTTTTATGTATTTTTATGACATTTTTACATATTTATAAGTATTTTGTCTTTACAAATTTTGCTTTCTTGCATTTGAACTGTCCCTGTTGATATTTTCCAGCAACAAGCTAATCATTTTCTTTTTGCCAATCCAATTTATTGATCTTGAATTTATTGAAATTCAGTGTGTTGAAGGAACTCAGCCATATTTATTTTATGCATAAAATGACATGACATTAATTATGTTAATAATTAATGTCATTACTTATGACATTACAATGACATTAATTATGTTAATTATGAGATATTAATTTGATTTAGATACAAATGATTTTACACCAATATTTATTGATCAACCTTATGTAAAGTCTTTAAATGAGAATGTAGAAATTGGAACTAATGTTTTGTTAATCAATGCTAAAGATAATGATTTTGGTCTAAATGGAGATCTCACTTTTTCATTAGAGAATCTGCAAAGTCTACCATTTGCTATAAATTCTAAAACAGGTTTAGTTTTTTTATTTGTAATTTTCATTTTTGTTGGTTCTGTTTTTACTTACATTTTTCTACATTTATAATATAAAATTTCAATTACTTTTATATATTAGTTTAAACATTTTTATATACATGTATAGTTTTTATACATATATGTTCATATACATAAATAGTTTATATCACTGAGCTTTTGATAATAAGATTTTTTTATCACAATATTTTTGAGCTGAAGTTAAAAAAAAGATTTCAATTTTATAAAAATTTTAATAAAAAGGTTTTTAAAAAATTTTTCTTTCAAAATTTATTTAAATAAATTTTATCAAAATAAAAGCTTAAGAAAAAAAATGCTAGTTTTTAATTTTCAACAATTTATAATGCATAAATATATTATTCAATTAAAAATAATTCTATTATTTTTAAGCACAAGAATGTTTGACTTTTTTTTTATTTTATTTTTTTAAACTGTATAATAAATCTTAAACTAAAACTAAAATAAATATGATAAACTAAAATATTCAGTGCTTTTAAAAAAAAATAGGTACAGTAAAAAGTTGAGTACATTTTCTTTTTTAAAACATTGTAAAAGCCTATCCATATTTTCTAAAGACTTAATTTTTTTTTTTTTTTTTGAATGACAGGAAAATTATTTCTCTACAACTAACATGTCAATAACAAGTTGCTTTTTTTTAGTAATTTACTTTTTTCATAGGAAAAAAACATACCAGAAAGGATTGTAAAAAAAAAATAGGCACACAAACTTTTTAATTGACTTCCATTCCACTTTCTTGTTAACCCATATGTTATTCATAATGACTTTATTAATTTATGTTAGCTTGACGATTTCCCATAAAATGTTGGATAAAATTACTTATGATGACCAGTTTTGTTACATTTAAAATTTGAATAATTTGATCAGACCTAAACATAAATACACATAGAAAGTGTGTCATGGGTCAAAAATCAGTAAGTGAAGCAACAAAATGGCAAGTAATAGGTATGAAAGATGGCTCAATGATCAATAATAGAGAAATAGCTAGAAAATTAAAAATTTTAGAGAATTGTGTCAGATATACTCTATAAATATTTAAAAAAAAACGTAAAAAAAAATTACTGAACACGAAAATAGTCTTATATTTCGTGGAATAAGAGTCAATCTGATGTTAAGTTATCGTAAACTCACAGAGACATTCAACGAAAACCATGAAAAATATAATTTATAGAATGCAGTTAGAAACATTTTACTAAGGAAAAAAATTGGTGTCCATGTTAGAAAATGTTGATGGACAGAGATTCAGGCGGTGTAAGTAGAGAATCGGGTGGTCTTTGGAGAAATGGAAGCAAGTAATTTTTAGCGATGAAAGTAACTTTCCAATAATAAATAGAAAAAGTAATGTTCTTGTCAAAAGATTTTAATCGGAAAAGTATAGTAATTGCTCTGTTTTACCAACCCTGCAAAGTGGCAGGGGCTGTGTTGGTATTTGCTTTAATTTTAATGGAGTAGGAGTGTATAACATTTATACAGGTCGAATCAAGTAAGATATATTTATACAGGTTGAATCAAGTAAGATACATTTGGAGGAGTTCCAAACAAAATCTGCAACAATCTTGTAAAATCGATGCAAAAAAGATGTGCTCCTTGCAAAAAAGCTTGTTATTATGTTTGATAACGTTTTTATATACAATTTTATGTTTCATTACGCCATCCAAGATACAAGATTTGTTTAAGATTTGTGTGTGTGTGTGTGTTTATATATATATATATATATATATATATATATATATATATATATATATATATATATATATATATATATATATATATATAGATATAGATATAAAAGATATTCTCCTGTTGGTACATTTGTATGTTCTGTTGATGCAAGTGATGTTGATGCTGGAGAAAATGCCACATTGTCATTTTTTATATTTAGCGCCATGTTAAAAATAGATCAGGTAAATTTTTTCATTTTATTAGATAAAAGTTTGTTTTTTTATTTAAAGAAAATAATTTTAAATTTTTTAGTTATTATATATTATGTATTAATATATTTTTTGTTTATCCATATTGTTATGAAAATTTTTTTAATCTTTTAGTTATTATATATTGAATATATTAATTGTTATATATCAGCCCTGCCATTCTTTTTTGTAAAAATATTTTAGTTTGAAATTTTCAACGCATTTAACAGACTTTTTTTTTTGGTTATCTAAAGAATTCTATTATCTATTGAGTTTAATCAGAAAAAGATTTTTTTCTGATTAAGTTCTATATTTTGTTTTTATCTAAATTTTAAGTTTTAATTTATTCAAGTTTTTTTTATTTTGTTTTACACTCTTAATTGTTTTACATTCTAATAAATGTAATAATAATAAACTTAACAGTAGTAGTAGTACCCTTATGACTGTGTTAGACACAGAACTTTTGGCAGCCATTGCAACAAAGGTAATGGCGAGAAAGAGTCACAATAATTTTTTTTTATAAGAAAATGTGAATAAAAAATGCAAATATCTTTTTAATGCACATTAGATATTTTATTGCTCAATAGATGTGGAGAGGCTAAGACTGTTGCTATCAATCTTAACATTTCTAACTTTGATAAAGTTTGGTATGCTGGTCTTCTCTATAATAGTTCTCTATAATCTCTCTTTTCTTATGGTGTATCAGGTAACATCTTTAAGATTATTGAATCCTTCCTAACCAGTTGTAGTATAAAAGTTGTCCTTGATAGACAGCACTCTTCTTTGTTTCCTGTAGCTTTAGGGGTTCCTCAAGATTCTATACTTGGCCCTAAACTTTCTTTAATTTACATTAATGATCTACCAGAAGTTCTCAAATCTAAGGTAGTATTATTTGCTGATGATATTACCATTTATTCTTGTCTTGATAGAAGCCAACACTCTCTGATTGCATTGAGGGCGCAAAAATAGATCTCATTTCTGTTACAGCATGGTGCTCTCAGTGGTTTATGAACTTTAACTTAACTAAAACTCAATTTTTCTCAGCTAATTGTTATCCCAACAATCAAGATCTTCCTATTTTTATGAACAGTAATGTACTCAATGAGTCATCTACCTTATATCTTCTAGGATTAACTATTACTTCCAATCATTTTTGGAAACTACATATTATATCCATTGAAAGTTAGTATCTGTTAAAACTGCATTTCTTTATCCAGCTTGCCACTTTCTTACTATTGGTTCTATTCCTTATCTCCATAAATCTCAAATCTGTTCTTGTATAGAATACTGTTACCATATCTGGAGCAGATCTTTGAATGACGCTCTTTTTCTTTTAGACAAGGTGCAAAAACATATTGTAAACATAATTGGACCTGCAGCCAACCTTCATCCATTTTTACATTGTTGTAATGTTGCTTCTCTTTCTCTTTTCTATAAATGCTATAATGGGTGCTGCTCTAAAGAGCTAGCATCTCTTCTGCTATCTACTAAAATTCTTGTGTTACTTGCCACTCAATAGATAATTTTAATAATATTTTACTCATCACTCATTTATCTGTCCTTTTATATAGTCTTTTGTTTGTAAAATACTATTAAAACATTTGACGTACAAAACACCTCAGTAGCTGAAGTGGTTAGCTTGTAGCATTCAAATGCAAAGCGTCGCGGTTCAAACATTTGTGATGGGTTGTTTTTGTTTTCTTTAAATCTTTTTCAGTTTTTCTAAAATACAAAATAAAACACTTTTAAAGTTTTATAGATGTTACATATCATACACTGATATCATACACTATATCTTATGTTACATATCATACACATGATATCATATGATATCTAATGAAAGGATCAGAGTTTTAAAAAAAGTTTACTTATTGTTTTATAAAGCTTTTTGTTTATTAAATAGTTTTAAAGTATTTGTCAAACAACACGGCTCATTAGCCTCAGTGGTGAGCTTAAAGTGTTTTTGAAATGCATTACCATGATTTAAATCCTATCGCTTTTTTTTTAAATGTTTTTTTGATTATTTTAAATACAAAATAAAATGCTTTTGAAGTTTTATAGATATAATATCTATAAAACTTCAAATGCATAACCAGGCCTCATCGGGAAGTGAGGTCTTACTTCCTGTCAAGTTGTATAATTATACTCAATAGTATAGTTATACTCAATAGTATGTTTATCATTGTAACTAAAATAAAAAAACAAAGTCATTTTTATTAAAAAAAAAATTAATTGCATAATAAACTCCAATTTTTTTTAAAAGACACAGATATTGCAAAAAGATAAAAAGTTTTAAAATAAGTGCCAATTAAAGTGCAAATGTTTTTGATTAGTTTGATAAATATAAAATTATTAGACTTTAAATTATATTGATAAAGTATAAAGTTATTTATCCGATAAAATGTATATATATATATATATATATATATATATATATATATATATATATATATATATATATATATATATATATATATCCATCAGTAGGTTTGTCAGGAAAAATGTCTAAACATCTAAAAAATACAAATTATAGAAAAAATATTTCACAGGAAGTTCTGTCATTATTTGGAACAGAAAGTTCTGTCATATTTGGTATATATTAGTGCTGTCAAAATATATTTGGCAACTAAAAGAAAAAATATTAATTTTAAATTAAACTGGCCTATTCAAAAATCTGCGCCTGCCTATAATAACATTTGTGAAAAATGTATACTATGTTTACAAGAAAAAATTGAAATTATTACTCATTTGGATCAAGAAAATTTACTAAACAAAAAAACTAACAAAAATCTGAATTAATTTCTAAATGCAAACATGAAAAAAATGACCAGACTAAAATTATCCTTATTCTAAAGAACTCTTTTCATGATAATTTTTTTAATTTTAATGTATTTGATGCAACTTCCTAGTTGCAAAATAACTACAGTTATTGCATAATTAAATATAACAATTCCCAACTTCCTGTGAAATATTTTTTATATAATTTAAATTTTTTGATGTTTAGACATTCTTCTTGTTAAACCTACTGTTGAGTAACAATTAATGAAGGAAAAATTAGATGTTTTTACTAATTTACTATAATATAAGTGTTTTTACTAATTTATTATTGCTTTTTTCTTTAAGAATATTGAGTACTTTATTTAAAGAATACGCTAACATGATTTAATTTAAATTTTTTATTTAATAAACATTTATTTCAAATCAGTTATTTCAAATTTTTCTTGCAGACATATTATGGATTAGCCTGTGTCAAAAAAAAGCAAAAATAAAAACACTACACTCTCTATTGTTAGTCATTTAATCCAAAAAAACTATATTTAAAGTTTGAGGAGGACGAGTCTAGTAGGATTACATTTGCGCTGCTTTTTTACAATTTTTGAAAGAAACAAAAAAAAGTTATTTTTGTCATAAAATGTTTTTCTTTTTAAATAAAATTTATAAATCTTTTAAATAAATTGTATTTTTTTTTTCATTTGCATATATCAAATATTAAAACTATTTTCTTTTGTTTCTTTATTAAATGTATCACACAATTATACTCACTGCCCAACTCTATTTTACTGCCTAATTTACTGCCCAATTAAATTTTACATTATATAAATATAGTTTAATTTTTTCAGACAGGTTAAAAAGTTAAAAAGAAAATATTGTAGTTAGTTATTCTGCTAATTCAAGGAGAACAAGTTATCTCCTAAAATATTCCATCATAGGTCTACCAGATAAAAAGCTTTCTACGGTTGAAAACAGTTTCAAGCAGAAAGAAAAAAGAAAAGACAAGAAAGAAAAGATGAAAAAAAATAAAGATATTACATCTAAGTATTTTTTTATGAAATGATTTCTGAACAACAAGATTCTCTTATAGCTTACTAATGAAAAACTTATTGAACCAACATCTGCTTGTGCTACAAGATACAATATAACTTGTGAAGGTCATTTTATTATGCTAACTGGTATTCTTAATGCTGCAAATATTAGTATTGAAAATTTAAATTTAAATTAATTTTATTAAAATTTAATTTAAAATAAGTAAAATTATAATAAATTCTAATAATTTTAATAAATTAAAACAATTTTTCAAGATTTATGCTCATTGACACTTGTTAATTCATGTTAAGAAGAACATCTTTGTTACAAATGATAGACTGGCATTAGGTGCATTCACTCCTTATGCCTTGGATTCAGAAGACATATCAGGTGTTCACATAATTGGAAAAAAAAAAGAAGTTGAGAGAGATTTAAGTTAAGATAAGAGAGATTTTAATACTATGATTACTTTGCAAGTAAATATGTAGAATCAAATATTTAGATCAAATATGTAGATCAAATATGTAAAAAATCTGAAAAATTGAACAAAAAACAAGAAAGTACAAAATAAGAACGTTGTTTATCTTTTATCTCAATCTGCAACAACGATTTGTAATGGGTATTACTTTTATAAAATAGCTTTTTTTTAAATAAAAAATGAAAATATCACGTTCAACATAATTACATGTTAAACATGACCTTATAAGCTTTTTAAACATGATGAATTTGTTGTAAGTGTCAAAGATTGCAAAGTATAGTGTCTGTGTATTTTGAATTTTGTCATAATATGACTCCTGCTAGTATGCATTTTTTAGAAATACTATTATACGCAGGTGCCAATCATCAAATTTTTTATCTTTCAATTACCATATATTTTTTGACAGCATAATATCTTTTGAATATATTTTTTTTTTTTTAAACTATTTTTTATGATTGACAAAATTTTTTTTTTTTTTCACCTTATAAAGATGCCTTTTTTTATAAAGTATTGCTTTGGCTTTTAGTAAATGATTGAAATAATATTTAAGAAAATATATAATATTATTTATTATAACTATAAACACCAGTGAAGGCAAGCCTGAGCTGTCTATAAACAATTTATAACAGGTCATCACATTTGCATTTGCAATTGAAAAGTCAAAATATATAAACCTTACCCAATAGAACAGATATCAAATACATTTAAAAAAAATCTCTTTCTCTTTCTCTCTATAATATATAGTATATATATATATATATATATATATATATATATATATATATATATATATATATATATATATATATATATATATATATACACACACAAAATATACAAACAAATATATATATTATATATGTATATATATACAAAATATACAAATATATATATATATATATATATATATATATATATATATATATATATATATATATATATATATATATATATATATATATATATATATATTATATATATACATATACAAATAGTATTGCGTACTATTATAAGCAATCTGACGTCATTCTGAAATAGCCTGCTGCTGGGGGCTTTAGTACATACATCGACTGACAAATAGCCTGACTTGCAGTGGAGTGCTGCTACATCGACTGAGGGTTTGGGATGGGTAAGCAATCGTTTCATTCAATCATTCTTCGTTTTTTCTTCTTTTTCAAAAAAAACGGTATAGCTTAAGGTAAGCAGAAAAAGTGAGCAAATGCTTATCAAAACACGCTTTAGTAAGTGTGTGTGTGTATATATATATATATATATATATATATATATATATATATATATATATATATATATATATATATATACACATATATGTGTGTGCGTGTGTGTGTGTATACTCTTGGATGGTTGCAGAGGTGTCATGATGTGTAGAAAAGGTCCAGATGGCTACCAAGTCTATAATAGGATTTAGGACCACCAAGTTTATTAAAGGTTTTTAGAAATTCCAGAACAATTGTTAAAAGGATCAGTTTTGTCTACAGGATTCTGAGTGTGTTGCAACAGCATTGAATGGTCATCTTTAGTTTTTACAAAATATATAATGTTCAGTTTTTTTAAGGTAAATTAGAAGACCAGAAAAGATTTTAAAAATGAAAAAAATACTTTGTATTTAAATAAATAGACTGCCGGCCTCTCAGTTGACATATGCACACTCCCTCCATATTCTACCTATTTATATCTGTCAATGTATGCGTACTCCACTGCACTTATTATTAAATGAATTAGTTGATAGAGAAAAAATGAAATAATAATTAAATAAAAATAATATAATTAAACAATAAAAACATTAAAATTCTTATAATTCTGAATTGAAAAAACAAAAAACTTTCTAGTCTTTAAAGTTTCATGGCTTTTTTTAAAAGAAATATTTTATTAGCCGTCTCTTTTTTTTCAGTTAAAAAGCTTCTAATTTTGTAAACTCAAAAAAAACTCAAAAGCTGCATTTTATTTTAAACAGTAAAGGTCTAAAATTTAAAACCATAGCTAACAAGTATAAGATATATTAAATATATAGTCTCATATTTATATTTCTTAGATAAGTGGAGAAATCAGAACCAACAGTTTAATAGATAGAGAAGTGTTAAACAACATAAAAGCTACAATCCAAGTGAAAGACAATGGCAAAAATCAAAGAGGTTTTTATTTAATATCATTATTTTGTACTTATTTATTAACAATATTATCATTGTTTAATTTTATTAAAACAAACTACGAAACATTAAGACTTTGATAATGAGCAGTAGGTAGATCAGTCAACAACAGCGACTCCAATAACAACAAACCAAATCAAAAGTAAAAAATGGCGTAGTTTTTTTTGAGCAAAGCTTAACCAAGTCAAAATAGTGAATGGTGTGAAAAGTGCAAAAAGTTAAAATGCAAAGTTTGTCTTTGTCAAAGATTCATTCCAAAAACACACAGAGTTTTATTGCACCAAAAAGTGCAGCACAAGTGATAACTTAACCTCCAGAACTTCTTAAAGACTCATCACATAAATAAAAAAAAAAAAATTAATTATTTGGTTGTTTTTAAATTTTTATTATTGATTTTTTTTTTTTTTAATTATCATTGGTTGCGTTTTTCAATTAAGTATTCTTTTAATTACTCCCGAATTTGCATATTTCATTCTCCCCAAATATGAGGGTGGAATAGTTTTTCTATTTCAATTAAATAAGTTTTTAAAAAACTTTAAAAAAAGTTTAATTATATAAAAATAATATCGTTTTTTAGGTAATTTGTGATATTTGAAAAAACAAGTGTATAATTTATAGATGTTTAAGTTGTACAGAAACAGATGCCTTATAGCTATTTCTTCTTAAAAAGATTTTTCAATTTGAAGAAATAAATTTTGATGATGAGTAAAGTCTAAACCAGTGACATCAAGACAAAACCCAACTCGTCACACAAACTGAAAATGTTGAAAATTATATAGAGTTAGTAGCAAAGTGTATCCATGAACTAATTGATCATTCGTTTATTTCTAAATTTCAAACAAAGTTTCTTAAAATTCAAAACCTTAATCAAGTGAAAACCTTAATCAAGTGAAAACCTTGGTGAAGTAAAAAAAGTGAAAAAGAGTGTATTATGATTTGTGACTTTTTAAAAAATTATGAATATGAAAATACTATAGTTTGTGCAAGATGAGATCCCAAGTTATCATTGGTATGCACCCTTCACCCAGGATGCACCCTTCACCCAGTTGTCTTATACTATAAAGTAATTGAGATTGTTTTACTTGAGTCATTTTGTTTTATGTCCGATGATATGATACATAATACCTGTTCTGTTTATCAAATTCAGATCATTTTATGTAATTATATTAAAAAAGCTGATGGAGTGGGGAACATTATTAAAATTATAAAAATTTCTGAATCTATGCCAAACCTTAGAAAATGTTTCATTGGAGGATGAATGAATTTTCTTGTAACCAGTCATGGCAAATATTCTTGTGATGCGATAGCTGGTACTGTAATACTGGCCAAAAAGGGGTGATTGTTGTAGGATATCAATCACTAATGTAATATGGTTGTGCACCAACAAGTGCACCAACAATAATATCAGACAATTATTATAAAATTTCAAAAAAAGGTTTTAATAAAATCATAAAAATGCAAATTTGCAAATCAATAATTTTTGTTATAAATATACATTAAAAATTATATATAAATTAAGCATGCATAGTTTTGTTTATTACTTTGAATAATATGAAAAACAAAAAATACTATGTTTAATTTTGTTATAAAAATTTTATTTATTTTTTAAAACATATTTTGCAAAAGGTATCTTTCTGTCATTCTGTACTTATAACATATACTAATCTAATTTAAAATTTAAAAAATTTACAGCACACTCCAACTTTTTCCTGGGGCAAGTAATCATTATTTTTATATTTACAATTGATTTCTTGGTACCCTATAATTAGAGTATGAGTTTTTTATGTTTTTCCTCACCTGAAGATTAACTAAGTTACTTATTTTTAGCTTTTTATCTTTTAAAGACATGGTTTTATAAGAAAAAAATGTAAATCTAAAAATGGCAGAAAGTGATCAAAACAAAAATTTAAGTCAAAAATAAAACACGGACACAGAATTACTCTTTAGCATCATCTTAAATATTGATTTTTACAAAATGGATTCAAAGATTGCCAGAAATTTTCAGTAGTAGAAAAAAAAAGATTTATTTAAACAAAATATTACATGCAAAAATAACATTACATGGTTTATGCGAAATATAAAACATTTTTTAAGAAAATATAAAACATTTTTTAAGAATATATAAAACATTTTTTAAAAAAATATAAAACATTTTTTAAGAAAATATAAAACATTTTTTTAAGAAAATATAAAACATTTTTTAAGAAAATATAAAACATTTTTTAAGAAAATATAAAACATTTTTTAAGAAAATAAAAACTTTTTTTAAAAATATATAAAACATTTTTTAAGAATATATAAAACAAGTTTTAAAAAATTATGAAACATTTTAAAAATATATATGAAACAAAATAAACTAAACTATTAAATAAACTTGATTTAATAGTGCATTTTTGATACATAAAGTTATTTTTAAATTTCCAAAGAATAAAGAGTATTTTTTTTATATAACTATAACTCATTATACTTAAAGATATAATATAAATATTAAAGTATCCACTTTAATAAAATTATTGCCTTGCTATGCCTTTCAAAATCCACTAAGTCCTTTTCAGATTTTATCAGAAATAGAACGTGTTGCAGAAACTGATATTTCAACTTCTTCCGCAATTACTTTTATCTTCATTTCTTTAAGAATTGACTTTCTTATGGTTTTTACAATATCCTTTGTAATAAGTGTTCTTTTTTTTTCTTTTTCTTTTGTTTTCCATTTATCAATTAAAACAACAAAATAAAGCTTGAATAATATATTTTCTTTATTAGCATAGTAAGGCATGATTGCATGTAAAAAGTTTTCTCTGTATAAAAAAAAGCATTTATTTAATATGGATATAGGAATTTATATAATTTTCATTGTACTTAATATAAACTTAAAACTATAATGAATATTATTCACCATATTAGTTTCAATTATCTTATATATATAAAACATTTATTCCAAACTTAAAAGTCTGATTCCAAACTTTAAAGTATGATAAAAAGCTTGATAATAGACTCAAAAAATTATCCTATTCAGGTACATACAACTACCAATGGCTCTTGCTGCACGTATTTTATTTTTACAGTTCTCTTCTTTGTTATTAATAAACCTCATAAATTCCATAGTTTTATAGAGTAATTATGTAATTGAATGTTTTATATTAAAATATAAAAGTTGAATTAACTAATTCAATGTATTTGCTTAAAATTTGTTTTATATTTCAGAGGTGTAGCAATAGAGGGGGGAGGGGGGCATTTGTCCAAGGTGCCACTCTAAGGGGGTGCCAAAAAGGGGAAAAAAGAATAAAAATAAATGAATTCACTACTCAGATCCAGAGCCAACAACTGGTCAGTGACAAACAGTCAAACGACTATGAGATCCCACAATGAACTCTAAAGATGCAGCATCTAATATGGAAATGTTGGAAAATTATCTCAAAGAATTTCGCGTTCATTTGTGCCAAAATGCAATTAAGTATAGCAAGGGCAGATGTATGGAATGGGGAATTTAAGTTGAGAGGAGAGTCAGGCAACAGCGAATAATGCCAGATAAATGGGCTAGAGATAGTGGCCTCTCTGCTGAAGATAAAGTTAGCCGAGTTTTGAGAATGATATTGGATCGTTTCCAACAAGAACTAACAACTCTCTTTAGACAATTAAATAATCTCAATGAAAAATTTGGATTGTTGCTCGAAGTGAGAATATTGCTAAAGAGGGCTGGTGATGAAAATCAAGAAAGTTTAGGATCTGGAAAACTTTTACAGTACAGATTTTTTTTTTTTTTAATTTTAATTCACCTCCTCAAGCCCGAGAAGGCCACTACAGATGAGGAGGCTACTTATTTGTGGCTATAACCCTCTCTCAACTCTATAACTCCGAAACACGAACCTTGACGAACAAGGCCGCTGCTCGGAGAAACGAGTTGAGTGCGGTGCTACCAGGGACGTGGTGGGGATCGAACTCAGAACCACTCGTTTATGAAGCGAGCGCTCTACCACTACACCACTACCGCATCAGATATCAGTGGAGCAGAATTATTTACTGAAATCGCAGACTGTCAGATACTGTTTAAATCTCGTGGAGGTCCAATATCATAAACTCCGCTGGATTTGATCAACAGACTTTGAAGACATAATAGATAAATTTGCTGCAGTTAAAGCTAGAAAGATCAAATTATAATTTATAAATAGTTATTAATTATTGGATCTAATTGACCATCTGTCACTTTCAATGAACAATTCACATGAACAATAATGGATACGTAATTAGAAACATGAGTTAAATTGAGTTTGCATTATGATTGCATTTTTTTAAATAAAATTGACATATACTTGGAAACATTAAGTGTTTTTTTTTATGTCTGCTTCAGGGGGGCGTCAATTTTCAGTATTGTTTTATATTTTCTTAAAAAAAATTTTATATTTTCTTAAAAATATGTTTTATATTTCGCATAAACCTTGTAATTTAAAAAAAGGATAACTTTTACTTGTAAAAGAAATTTACATTTAATTAAATTTTTTTTTTATTCTTATGTAGTTATGTTAAAAAGTAGCTTATTAACAATGCCAAAAAATTTAAAAAGAAAAAAGAAATTAGTTTTTTTTTATTATTTAAGTCACCTCCTTAAAGCTTGAATTGGGAGTCACTACAATCAATTTTTCAGGGGGTCTATACAATCAATTTTTTTTTAAACTCTCTCAACTCTAAATTCCAAAACATAAATAAAAAACAAAATAAGAGTAAACTTTTAATCTTTTAAGTACTTCATAATACTTTTAATTTAAATGTTTTATTCAAAAGTTTATATAACTTATTTTATGCTTAAGTAAGAGAAGTTTAAAACAAGGTTAAGTTTCTTTACTTTGTACTCGTCAAATAACAACACTGTTTCATGTTGCTATTACATGCAGACTGTAAGAAGAGTAACATATTTAAAAGCATGTGACCAAATTACTGTTCTAACTAATGATATCTTTATATTTTGAATTATGATCAAGTATTGTCATTTTTTATGGTTTTTTTGATTATTTTTTAATGCATTATGAATTGTATAATATATATTATGAATATGCATTATGGTATTGGAAGATAACAGACTGATAAAACAGCTTTGCAAAAACTATCAATCAAGTAAGTATAATTCATTTAATAAAAAATATCTGTTAGTGGCAAGAATAGCTATTTAGAAAAAAAGAAAGTTATTTAGGTACCATTTTAGACAAGGTTTCTTAAAGTTTTTTAAAATAATAACTCAATTTTCATTTTCTTAAATTTGCATTCAAAAATTAAAAATAATTAGGATTATCTGGAGTTTTCCTTGTAGATGAAGAAATACCAAAGACAAATTGTTGCCTCAAACTAAATGAAAACTTTTAAATCTGAATGTGAAAATTACATTTTCATGTTTTTGCACATAAAATTAAATTATAAATAGTTGTAAAATAATGTTATTTTTTAAATTTAATTTTTTATTACATGTAAATGTAAATTTTTTTTGAACATATAAAAGAAATTATGTAATTTACTTTTTCACAAAAACTTTAAAAAAAAATTAGTAAAAGAACCATTGCTATTATAATTTCAAAACATATATATAATGTACTACCAGGGATGTGGTGGATATAATGTATATATATAATGTACTACTGTACTACCAGGAAGGTGGAAGAAGGAACCTCTCGCTTATGAAGCAAGCGCTCTACCACTACACCACTACCGCATTACAAATTTTTAGTTCCTTTTATAAAGTAAATCCTTTGAGGACCTTTCCAACTATAGAAATATAACACTTGCAGATAAAAATATTTGCAATATATCATCTTATTGTTATTTTTATTAATTTTTTTTTTGTTTGTTTGTTCGTTTTTTGTTTTTTTTGCATCCATATTATTATTGAAATAATATAAAATCAGATTAATGATTAATGTGGTATAAATTTAGTAATTGTCCTAATGATATATAAAGTCTGATTTAAGCTAATTTATTAGGATCAATGTAGGATGTAACTAGATTTATGAGAATTTGCCTGGCTCATATTTATGAAAAGTATTTTGTTTGGAAACAACTTTAGAACTCCATCACTTTTTTTTTTTTAGAATCAAAGACTCTGTTGAGTGTTACAATACTTGATGAAAATGACAATAAACCAAAATTTGATTTTATCAGCTACAACTTTAGTTTTGTTGAAGAGCAAAATGCTGGAACAGAAGTTGGGAAAGTTTTTGTCACTGATGAAGACATGGGAATCAATAAAGAAATTGTCTTTGATGTAATACATACTGATAGGTAATACAATAATACATTAATTACATATGATTATTACTGGCAAATGATAATTATGATAATTATTACTGACAGATGGTAATTATGATAATTAATTATAGGTAAGATAGTTAACATAAAACACAGAAAAGTAAAATAAATTGTGAATATTAAATATAACAAATAACAAAGATTTTGTAAAAAAATTTTAAAATTATAAAACTATCAGCTGTAATACTAGTATAATACTAGCAGTAACCAACCCATAATACGAGTTGGTTACTGCTAGTAACCAACTCGTAACCAACCCATAACCAACTCGTAATATGAGTTAGTTACTGCCAGTAAATAACATAAATAAATAACAATTTAACTTGATATATTATCTGAAAAATATAAAGTACAAATTTATCTATATATTATATATCCTTTATCCCGGTTTTATATTTAAAAATAGTTATGATTGTTACCAAGGTTGCTCACATCTTCATCTAAGGTATCATCATGCTTCTCAGTTTACTATTTCTATGAAAGCAAGACACTGCTCTTCAATTTTAACATATATATCAGCATTATATTGCTAAAATAGTTTCTTTCCATTAATTATTGAGCAGAAGTTTTGACTTACTAAAGAACCATAATTGTAAAACTGAGATAATGGAATGTGATTTCTGACCAATTTTGCATATTCAGGGTTCTGCACCAAATATGATATATCTTGGAAAAAAAAGTGAATAAACCATAGGATCTAAGTTAGCTGACATCAATTTAACTTTAATATAACTTCTGGAAGAGGTGGAACACCATCTTCTCCTACAAATACAACTGCAACATCACTAACTAATGTTTGCAAATAAAACATTAAATTGTGTAGGCAAAGTTGATCTCAGTTATTTTTTTCTAAAATTTTCTGCTGCAAGTGGGTCAGAGATATACAGTTGATAATATTGGAGATTTGGCCAAAAATTACCTACACATTACCAACTTGACCAAAATTACCAATTTGACCAAATGTTTTAAAATATGGCAGCCTATGATTCATAAGTTAAACCATATTATCAGTAAATAAAGCAAAATAAAAACAGGAATTAAAAATTCAAAATATATTTAAAAAAAATTGATATTGGAATTATTATATCTAACTTTAACTTAACTTAATAGTAAAATAAGCAAAACTACTTTCCCAAATTTTATTAAAATAACAATTTTTAAAATAAAAACCTATAACTAAGGTAGCCTTAGACTAAGGTAATAAAAAATATCCAACCATTTATAAACAAAATTAATAATTTCTAAAAGTATATATTAAGATACCTTAAAATGAAGCAAAACATTCTTTTAACAAATTTCATCAGGGATTTTTTTTACTTAGTCTTTTCCTTATTATTTTTTATAAGAGAAAATATACATATAGGTATAGAGAAATATAAAATATACTGAAATAAAAAATTATGTATATAAACTTACATGTGGACAAACATAACAGTCTTATTTTTTTTAACTTTTTATGTTAAGTACATAAATTCATAAAATAAATTAATAATTTATGTCATAATAATTTGTCATAAATAAAATTTTATTCTCATTAATCCTTCTACAAACAATAATCTTTATCTATAATTAATAAAATGATAATTTACTAAAAACGCTTTCCTTCATAAATGCTCTAAAAACAATACTTGCTCTAAAAATGTTCTGAAAAGACAAAACTGAAACACTTTTAGTTTCCAACTTTATCTAAAAAAAGAAAACAGGCTATAAAAAATTAGGAAAATAAAAACAACCAAAAACAAACAAACCATTATTTAAATTTTTTGTTGTTGTTTTTAAACAATGAACAACATCAATTCTTCTTTAAACTAAAAATTTATTAGCTCTAATTTGCTTGCAGATCTTGTTTGTAAGACCGCATGAAATATAGAACTGCATATAGAAAAGCCTAGAAACTACTTTAAAATGACATAAGTCGACTATTATCTAAATTACAGTATTAATATTATCAGAAGTTTGAGATAGTAAAATAAATAATTCTTCCTAAAATTCGATTAATAACAGTAATTCTTAACAGTATTTTTTTTCAGTCTTACTGCCAACCAATATACTTTAGTTACATACATACAAATTCTATTCACCTACTGATAATAATAAATGCCATTTGTTCTCAAGAGAGTTGCTCTTTTGAAAAAGATAAAAAAAATGATTATAATTAGATATAGCATTGTACAAGAGGGTAAAAACCATTGAGTAGAATGAGGTTTGACTTGGAACCGACATGAAGAAACAAAAGTATCCATTCCTGCCTGAATACTTGAGGTTATGTAGGAGGTGCATTTTTCAGCGAGAAGGAAAAGACATTAGCCCAAGGACTGTCACAACGAAAATCATGAAAAGAGTTCCAGTCAGCTTTAGGGTAGTAGTAAGTAGTGTGATGATAGGCTGAGTCTGAAAAGGAAGTATGAGATAAAAGATTCAAAGAGATCATCACATGGTCAGAACCACCTAAGGGAGAACAAGGAGAAACTGAACATAGGGTAGGATCAGAGACAAGATATAAATCAAGGAATGAAGGTAAATGATTAAGGTTGTCAGGAAAACAAATCATAAAGTTAACTGTCTTAGTAAGAGAGTGAAAATGCAGAAGTTATTGTGCCTATCCATTCAGTGAGATGAGCATTAAAGTAACCAATAATAATATAAGAGAGGTTTTGATCAGAAATTTTATCTAAAAGAGTGCAGTCTTGGGAAGAAGGAGAATGATAAAGAACAAAGATGAAGGTAATAGAGTGAAGAGGGGCTAAGTAGAAACACATAGAGAATGGTCAAAGGGTTCAAACCTGATTTCACAACAAATAGGTGAATTGATGCGTATGTATACCCTTAAGCCAAGCATATGATTATTGGAGTCTTTGCGAATCAAAGGATAGTACCCATTAACACTGAAATCAAAAAAAAAGAATAGCAGAATTTAAATTAGTCTCATTAAGAGGAAGCAAGTCTGGTGACTTTTGCAAGAGGTAAGATTCAACTGGTAAAAGATTGCTTCGCAGACCATAAATATTAGTAAAAGATATATTAAAACAGTTAAGTGGTTGGGATGGTTTTTTATGTTTAATATATTGATTTACTTTTGACATAATTTAAGTTTAAAGAGAACTTGGCTCATTCATAGATAGAGCATGGCCTCCCAAGCAATGAGCTATGCAATTTTCTCAGTGCTGTTAATTAACCCTAAGTTGTTACATAGGGCTCCTTATGTGGCCTTGATAATGCGCATCAAAAGCTTTAACAGGTACACCATCCATGCGCAACATGGCACTGTTAATACTCTGATATTTTGCAGCTGTTGATGTAATCAGCCTCTCTGAGAGTTACATAGAGTTCAGGAAACCTTACTACCAGCCAGCCTCAGAACCATTAAGCTGAATTTTAGAGCCGTACCCTCATTAGGAGATAACAAGAAGTTTTGCATAGCCACTATCAAGGAGGCACAATCAAAAACCTATGAGAAGAGTCAATGAGATCTAGCATTCATCATCCTAGGCAGAAAACAATAAAACACAGGTTTACATCTATTTTGTGCATATACTATCAAGAAAGTGCTCAATAAAAAAAGTCAGAACTATTATAAAAAAATTATATACCTTATATATAAAAATTATATATAAGGTATATAATTTTTTAAACGAACAAACTATATTTGTATTTCACCTGATGATTGCAACAGCATGAAACTTAAAGTTGTGAAAATCACGCAGTTTATTTTCTACTCTATATATATATATATATATATATATATATATATATATATATATATATATATATATATATATATATATATATATATATATATATATATATATATATATATATATTATAGCTCTTCGCTTTCTTGATAGTATATGCACAAAATAGCATCACTACATCCTAATTCCAAGGTTGTATATGTATATATGCATGTTTATTTATATAGGCAACATACAATCTCTGTTTTTTTTATTTTTTAATACCTGTAAATAATATAAAAATAGCATGTATAAAATCTTATATCATGAACTTAAATATGTTAAATATGTTAAATATGACCTCTAAAATCCTAAAACTTATTGCCTTTAACTTGCAATATACATGCAAATATACACTAACATTGTCTTTATTGCTATTTTTTTTACTCTCATTTATATACGGATCTAAACTTAGTGCTTATTTTCCTCTAAAGATGTATAATAAATAAAACTACCCTTCATAGATTAATAACATGGTAACTAGGTTTTATGTTTCTGAAAGATAATATCGAAACCAGTCATTTACAATACCCCAAATTCCATAATGTTTTAATTTATAAATTAAAATACTATGGTCAATGGTATTGATTTACAAAAACTTTTGATACCATTGACTATAGTATTTTATTTTCTAAATTAAAACATTATGGAATTCACGGTATTGTAAATGACAGATTTCAATCTTATCTTTCAGATCAAAAACAATTTGTAAGTATTAATGGTTTCAATTCTAGTAATAAATAAGTTTTGAGGTGTTTCTCAAGGTTATGTTCTAGGTCCTCTTTTGTTTTTAATCTACGTTATCAACCTAATCGATTCCCTTTTCATCAGTTCATCTGTTTGCTGATGATACAAATCTCTTGCACATCAACAAATTGTATCATTCTTTATGTAAAAATGTTAATTCGAATCTTAAACATATAGTTCACTGGTATAATGCTAACCTAATATGTCTCAACAATGGAAAGAACTGAACTAATTTTGTTTCATCTCCAAGAAAAAATTATTTCTCTAAAAATGTTAAAATCAAAATTAATAATAAATGGCTATATCCTTCAAGAGTTATTAAATATCTTGGTGTATTAATTGATTGCAATCTTTCATGGAACTTTCATATTGATGAACTAAGCAAAAAACGAGCAAACGGTATGCTTTCAATAATTCCTCATTATGTCGATAAAATTACACTAAAAAATATATTTACTATACATTATTCTCATCTTATCTTAGCTATTGTTGTCAAGTTTGGGGTCAAGTTGGAAACTATTGCATTAACAAGTTGCTATCGTCTCAGCATCAATCTATCAGATTAATAAACTTCCAACCAATTAAATCAGATACATCAAAGTCTTTCAAAAAACTCATTCCAAAATTTCCAGTGCTAATAAAGTATACTAATGTTCTTTTTGTTTTTGACTCCTTAAATAAAAACTTATCATCTCCTATCACAAACTTGTTCACAGAAAATAGACTATTACATTCCTTTTCTACTAGAAATATACACAATGGAAAACTAAATACTGTTCATCAGTGCGTCAAATATTGTTCGTCTGTGAATAGATCAGGAGCCTTGCATGCATTTTGATTGAGTCTAAAAAAATATATCCTAAAATACCTTTACTTTATCTTAAACAATATCAATTTAAAAAAGTTCTGAAAAACTTTTTATTCTTATTTTTAGACATTATTATCTTTACAATTAAAATATTATTTTAATTTTTTTTTTGTCATTACTACAATTATCATCAGTACTTTTTTTTATTTGTTTATTTTCATTATAAAAACCTGCAAATTATGATTTCTACATGTTTGTTTTGATGTATGTTTTATGTGCTTTGGTCTGTGTGTTTACAGTCCATGTGTTTCAGTGTGTGTCTTTGCTCATCATCACTTATATTATATCTTAAAAGTGGTGTCACTCCTTTGATTGGATATTTGTATGAGTGACACCATCTTAATAAATCATTTTATTTATTAATTATTATAAACAATTTTATGTTTATAACTACTATTATAATATTAATTATTATTATTATTTTTTCATTGTAATTATTGTAAACATACTTATGTAATAATAAGTATGTTTACAATAATTACAATGAAAAAATATATATTACTAATAAATATTACTATAATTTGTATTAATTTTTTTTTCATCTTATATTATTATTACTATTATATAATATATATTATATTATATTATATTATATATTAGTATTACTATTATTATTGTTATTATTATTATCAAAATTATTGTAAAAATGATTTACAGAAAATAAATAGCTTGTTATTGTTGTGTATGTATATATGTATATGTATATGTATATATATGTGTGTATATATATATATATTTATATATATATATATATATATATATATATATATATATATATATATACATACATACATATATATATATATATATATATATATATATATATATACATACATACATACATACATACATACATACATACATACATATATATATATATGTGTGTGTGTGTGTGTGTGTGTGTGTGTGTGTGTGTGTGTGTGTGTGTGTGTGTGTGTGTGTGATTTTGATAGACTTAATTTTTTATGCATCTAGAATTTTAAAAAAATTTTAATTTTGGGTTTATAGCTAACTTTAAAAAATGTATTTAGATTTTGGGTTGATAGCCTAGACAATGGAATAGGTATTATAAAGGCTAAAAAACTGAATCGCGAAGAAAAAGACTTGTACAAGTTCATAGTAAGAGCCTCTGATAAAGGAACACCTCCTCTTTTTTCTTTAGTCAATGTTGTTGTTACTATTACAGATATAAATGATAACATGCCATTAATTGAAGATAAGAGATATCAAATAAGTATTAAAGAAACTGTATCATTTGCAACATTTGTTCTTAAGGTTATTTCTTTAAATAATGTTTTTGTTTAGAAAAAATATATATATTTTTTACAATAAGACAATTTGAAAGACATTTTTGCTAAAAACATTTAGTTTTTTTAATGTCATTTTTTAACATGACTCCATGAATTTTAAGAATGTTTTTATCAATTTTTTTCTTCTCTTTCAAAGTTGATAAATCTTTTTTTTTTTAGATTTTATTTAGTTTTCTTATGCAAAGTGAAAAATTTTTTCTAGATTACTGCCTCTGACCTTGATATTGGTAAAAATGGTCAATTTGTTTACAAAATTAAAAGCAGTCCAAACTCTCATCATTTTTTTATTAATTCAAGTACAGGTGTGATCATGACAGCTACAGCCTTAGATTATGAAACAGTTTCATCTTATATTTTAAATATTGAAACTATAGATAAAGGGTCACCGCCTTTATCTGACAGTGCAGTTGTAAGCATTTTTTCATCGCATATAACTACCTATTAAATAAATGCTACACTTTATATTAATTCTATTACAAATTCTTATTTAAATTGAAATCTTTGATAAGAATTTCATTTGATAAAATTTTGTATTCATTAGGTTAACATAAGTATCAATCATGAGGACAACACAGCTCCAAAGTTTGAACAAGTAAAGGGTGTATCTATATATGAAGATCTTGGTGTAAATCAACCTGTCGTGCAGTTTAATGCAAGTGATGTTGACGGTTCAAACATTACATATAAAATTATTGGAGGAATTAATGAGGATACATTTCAAATTAACAAAGTCACAGGTTTATTGTTTTTAAAAAAAAATATAGATCATGAGAAGAAAGATTTTTACAACATCAGTGTTGAAGCTTCCGATGCAAGAAAAAAAGAGGTTATATACTTACCAGTAGATGTCATAGATGTAAATGATAATTATCCTATTTTTAATCAAGCATCATATTCTGGAAATGTTGAAGAAGAGAGTGATGATTTTACAAGTTTGAAATTTTCATTTGAATTGTTTATGCTTTTATTTAATTTAAAGTTTTGAAAACAAAACATCGTGCAACAGGGAGGGATAGCTATGTTACAAATGTTTAAGTGTTATATTACTGCTGCATATAATATATGGGAATAGTGTATATATAATACATGTGGGTGTTGTTTAAAAGAATTTTTTTGTTTTTTTTTATGATTTATAAAATTTTTATTTATGATTATAAAATTTAACTTATAATTATAAAATTAAATTCATTTAAAAAAATTTAAAATATTAATTATTACTTTTTAATATTAAATTAATATAACTAATGTTTTGATAAAAAAATTTTAAACTTCTTAGAAGCACATAAAAACTCAATTATTTATAAATAATTTATAAGTTATTGTCATAACTACTTTTTAATTCCTTTTTTTTTTTTATTGCTTAAAAATGTCTACTATGATCTTTTTTTTTCCTGCTTAAAAATGTCTACTATGATCTTTCTTTACTCTTTCTTTATTGCTTAAAAATGTCTATTATGATCTTTCTTTACTGCTTAAAAATGTCTACTATGATCTTTCTTTACTGCTTAAAAAAGTCTACTATGATCTTTCTTTATTGCTTAAAAATGTCTACTAAGATCTTTCTATATTACTTTTAATGATGAGTAAAAATTTTAAGCTTCTTAGTTATTTAAAAAACAAGAATATGATAAATATGTAGTTATCCTATATAGTCATTGTAATATGAAGCCATAATGGCCTCCTTTTAATTAAATACGTAGTCATAATGGCCTATAATATGTAGTCATAGTTATAAGATATATGATCGCAATTATAATAATATTTTTTTATAACTCTTATAATTAAAAATATGTCATTGTACAACATAGTCATAGCAATATGTAGTCATAGTAACATAGTTAATGTAGTCATAATGGACTACATATAATTATAATTATAGTTTATTATAATATTTGTAATTAAAATAATTGCTTCAAAACTCATAATTAAAATTAGCTGTTAATTCATTATTATTACTTGTAGAGAGATCAGGTGAGACTCTTTAACCATGGTGAAGGCAACTAGCAGAAGGAAAACTCTGATGTAAAAAACCTTTGTGTGTTATAGTGAGACTTTTAAACCCTGAGTGTTAAAAATCTGATAGTAATATCAAATTTTTATATATTACCATATAAAAATAATTATTACCCAAAAAAAATTGTGCTGTTTTGAACCTGAAAAACAGGTTAATACCAAGAATTATAACGAAAAAAATTTACTGAAATAAAGTAATAAAACTCAAAACAGTTTTAATAAAAAAATTAATTTTAAATAACCTAATTTCCTAATAATATGTAAAATACGAGAGAAAAATGTTTTATATAAAATGAAGATTTGGATTTAAATTAAACTAAAAATAAAATAAATTTATTGTATAAAATAAGTTTAAAAAAGCATTATACAGAACAAAGCATTATACAGAACAAAGCATAAAAATAAATACAAATAAACATGTTTAAATGAACAATGATCAATGATAACCTAGTTTGATAATAAAAAAATTGAATGCACTGCCTTTATTTTAGAAAATCAAATTTATACATTTTATTTTTTATTTTTATTTTTTCAGGAGTCATTGTTACTGTCATAGCATCTGACAAAGATTCTAATTTAAATGCAGAAATTGAATACAAAATTGTTTCTGGAAATAATAGTGTGTTTGAAATAGACTCAAAATTAGGTGAAGTTTATATTCATGTTTAATACTTGATCCATGTTTATTACTTATATATTATCTGTATATATATACATTATACATTTAAATAGAGCAATATATGTGTATATATAAGTATATATATATATATATATATATATATATATATATATATATATATATATATATATATATATTAGGGTATCTCAAAAAAAAAAAATTTCTTGTTACAGGCTCTAAACATTGCTAATAGTTATTAATATTGATATTATCAAATATGAGAATGATTGTGATAGATTTAAAGGTAGCAACTTTATTGGGAAAATTACCGGTACCCTAATATTTTGGAGAAAAAAAGATTTTCAAAAATAGGTCAACCTGGTACTCAAAAGAAGCACAATTTTATAAAAAATTCGAAAATAATAATCGTTTTATAAAAATCATATTGCCGAAAAATTGTTATTAAAAAACATGTAAAAATGCACCTTTTTCACTTTTAGTTAAAAAACTATAGTTATTATACAATAAAATCTAAAATAATAATTTTTAAATGAAAATATTATTATTTTTGAAATTTTTATAAAATTTCGCTTTATTTGAGTACCTACATCACATAATTTTGAAAAACTTTTTTTTGAATAATATTAGGGCCTGCTAATTTTTATGATTATAGTTGCGGGTGGAAGACATTGTTCAATCCATAAAAGTAAATACTTTCCTAAATTAGTGCATAAAAAAACAACTTTCTAGCAATGTTTAGAGCCTGTAACAAGAAAAAAAATTTTATGACCCACCCTAATATATATATATATATATATATATATATATATATATATATATATATATATATATATATATATATATATATATATAAATATAAATATATATATATATATATAATATATATATATATATATATATATATACATATATATATATACATATATATATATACATATATACATATATATATATAGACATATATATATATACATATATATATATATATATATATATATATATATATATATATATATATATACATATATATATATACATATATATATATATATATGTATACATATATATATATATACATATATATATATACATATATATATATATATATATATATATATATATATATATATATATATATATATATATATATATATATATATATATATATATATATATATATATATATATATATATATATATATATATATATATATATATATATATATGTACATATATATACATATATTTTTTTCTGATGAGTCTTTATTGATGAAACACTGTTAAATGAGAAAAAATTTTGCTAAGTGATTTTCTACTAACTTGTAATTGCTCTGTTCTTTTAAGAACATTGAGCACTATTTTTGTAGAATACATTTTAAATTGTTTAAATATATATACATATATATATATATATATATATATATATATATATATATATATATATATATATATATATATATATACATATACATATATATGTATGTATATATGTATATATGTATATATATATATATATATATATATATATATATACATATACATATATATGTATGTATATATGTATATATGTATATATATATATATATATATATATATATATATATATATATATATATATATATATATATGTATATATATATATGTAGTATAAATTATTATATATATAATATTTATTAATATATTATGAAGGTATATTGCGTTCCAAGAAAAAGTTGGATCGTGAAGAAACAGAGACTTACATAATTGAAGTTGCAGCTGTAGATAAAGGTACACCTTCTCTTTGCACAAGTGTTTTTATCACTATCAATGTTGCTGATATTAATGACAACTATCCACAGTTTGAAAATGATGTTTATAACATTTCTGTCAAGGAAAATTTAGGAGCTGGTCTCTTTTTAATCCAGTTAAGAGCATTTGATATTGACAAGAATGAAAACGGAACAGTCGTTTACAGTATTAATGCAGATTTTGAGAGTTTGTTTTCAATCAATGAATCAACTGGACTGTTATATGCATTGATTAATTTTGATAGAGAGGAAAAAGATTCTTATACAATCAAAGTGAAAGCTTTTGATCATGGTATTCCATCAAAATCTAGTGAAACTTTAGTTAACATCATAGTTTTAGATGTAAATGATAATGCACCTGTAATCCAAACAAAAACATTACCTGCTGTAAATGAAAGCGTTTCTATAGGAACAAATCTTTTTCAGATCTTAGCAGATGATTCTGATATTGGTATTAATAAGGTTTTAGTTTTTAGCATCACACCTGATATCTTTCGCATTGATAACAATGGAAATATTTTTTTAAATAGACCTTTAGATCGTGAGCTTGTTTCTCAACATAATGTTTTTGTAAAGGTTGAAGATACAGGTGAACCTAGACTTCATACAAGTATTAGTTATATTATAGATGTCACAGATGATAATGATAATGCACCAGTATTTTTAAACACTCCTTATTATGGTAAGTTTTTAAAAAAAAAAATTTAATTTTTAAAGTATAAAAATAATTTTAATAATATTTAATAATAGATAAAGTTTTTCAATATTAATCAGAGTTTTAGCATGAAAACAATTTTTTTATTTTTAATATTTATGTTTTATAGGACAAGAAGTGCTTTATATTGAATTCAGTAAATTTGTTTATATTTCTAAATACTATCTGTAAATATTAGTTATTATCTATGTAACTTATTAATAATTTAGTTGACTTAGAAGAAAATTTTCAATCAAAAAAGTTATTATTTAAAGCCCATGCTAATGATATTGATATTGGAATAAATTCTCAAATAGCTTATAGTATTCTTAACAACAAAGAAGTTTTTTCGATCAATGCTACTACGGGTGATATTTATACCACGAAAGCTGTAGACTATGAAACTGTACAATCTTTTGTATTAAATATTTCTGCTTCTGATTGGAAGTTCACTACCTTTGCTACTGTTGTAGTTACTATTATTAATCTTAATGATAATTATCCTCAATTTGAGATGTTTGAATATTTTGCTTCTATACTTGAAAATGCTACAAGAAATAGTCTTGTTGTAAATGTAAATGCCAATGATCTTGATGCATTCGGAAAGCTTAGTTACATTTTATTTAATACAACAGATCTTCCTTTTAAAATTGAGAGCGAAACAGGAAGTATCAAAGTATCAGATAATTTAGATAGAGAGAAAATTAGAAGTTATTCCTTTAAAGTTATTGTTTTTGACAGTGGCAATCCAAAATTACACAATGAAACTAATATTGTAGTTAAAATCTTAGATGTCAACGACAACCGTCCTAAATTTAAATCAAATGTAGAAGTTATTTCTTTAAAAGAAAATAAACCAGTAGGCACATCAATATCTTTATTATCGCCCACGGCATCTGACGAAGATATTGAAGAGAATGCCATTCTGCGATACGAGGCTGTCCAAAGTAGTGATGATCTTTATGTAGACTATGTAACTGGTGAAATAAAAACATTGCGTATTTTTGACAGAGAGTTTCAGTCAAGTATAACTTTTAATTATATTGCATACGATCTTGGAAATCCTCAACTTGTTTCTGAAAAACGGTAAGTTTTTTTTTGTTAAGTTTAGTTGGTACTATTTGTTATTTTTAGTTTTGATCCACTCTATCATTTCTTCTAAAATATTTATTTTGTTTTAACAATGCATTTTTTGTGTTTTCAAAAATTGATTGTATGCATGGCTTTATTTCATTTATAAAACTCTTGAATATAAAATTAAAGCTAAGTTATAATATATCATCAAAACAAGGTTACCTTGTTTACTTAAGTACAGAACTTTGATTCATTTTTAAGTCTAAAACTAGTTTTAACTTATATTATGGTTTTTTGTTGTCTGGCTACATTTAGAAATATATAACCTCTTAGGAATAGAAAAAATATTTTAAAAACTTTGTTAAATGTCCTTAGTATTTTTTTGAAAAACCTATTGGACTATTCCACATTGTACAAAAAGTTTAATATAAATTTCAAATCCTAAAAAATAAAAAAATAAATATATCAATCAAAAGTTAAAGGTTTTTAGTTTCTAAAAACATGTAACATGTAGAACTGGTTTTCGAAGAATTTTAGGATTTGACGCTTAAACTTTAAACAAAATTTTTTAAACTTCAAATTTAAATTATTTTTCTAGTAAATCAATTTGAAACCTTTTTTTCTGAAACTTTTTTAAATTTCTATGTAGATTTGTCTTACGCAAAATATAGTTGGGGCTCTTTCTTTTCAAATTGAAAATTTATTATAATAATTAAATAGTATTTCATTTAGAAATTTGGTCTTCTTTAAGTTTGTCACGCTGTGACATGTCACGCCATGACACTAATAGTAACATTTTTTATTCTAGCGTAAGAATATTTATTTATTTTAAATAAATATATATAAATTACTTGTAACTAAAATAGGGCAATAAATATCAATAGATATTTAATTTTAAATATTTTTAGTTTTTGTCTTATGTGTCTTAAGTTTATGTCACGTTTTGACGACAGGGCGTGACATTTTTAAAATTTAATTTTTTAAAGACTAATTTTTATTAAAATGTTATGCAAAAAACATGTTGGTTTAACATTTGTAGTATTTTTATTGTTTTTTATTTGTGGATAAGTTTTGAAACCTCCTTTAATATAACTAACATTGTTTTTTTTTATTAAACATGTAGGTGTACCTGTAAATATGTAGACATTTTACTAACACCTTTGTTATTTAGTTTCTTAAATTTTGTCGCGCCATTGCTGAAGTTATTCTGAATGTTTATTGTTTATACAATTCTTATAAAAAGTAAACTTTCACAAACCAACTGTTTATTTTTTCGTTAAAAGTAATGAAAATGCCTCTGACACATGTTGATTGCCAGAGAAAGTATAGAGAAAGACAAATGCAAAAATTTGGTCTGGATTTTATAAAAGAAAAGGACTCGATACGGTAAAAGGAAAAACGAAATTCTAATGTTGAATTAGTGTGTTTAAAGTACAAATTAAGAAAAAAAAGAGTAGAGTTTCTTCATCTAAAATAACATCTAACATCTCTCCTGCTTACAAATCATCTTGTACACTTGGTAAAGCTGTTAAAAAAGCAATACGTGCTCTCCCAACTTCTCCTCTTAAAAAAGAAACTGTCGTTAAACAACTTGTAATTCAGTTTAACAAAGATTTGCCAGATATACAACCAACACATGGACCTAATGCTCTTAATAACGAAACGAGACTATGCGTCATTAGTTTTTTTGAACAAAATGGTATATCCCATCAGGCACCTAGAGTAATAGATACGATTGTTTTAAGAAGTAATAAAGAAAAAAGAAAGTGCAAAAAATTTATTTAGCAATGAATATAAGTGAAGCATATCAAATATTTAAAAACGAACACACTGATTTTTCAATCAGTAAATCCAAGTATGCTAGTTTAAGACCAGGCCATATACTTTTATCAAGCTTAATGCCTAGAAATGTTTGTTCGTGTCAAAAACATGAAAACATTATCTTGTCACTCAAAGCATTACATTTCATCGATTTAAAAATTCCCCTTTATTTGCATGCTTTACCAAATACTTTAGTGTGTGACGAGAAAAGTGATAATTGTTGGAATAATCTTTGTGACGCTTATTAGGACAGAAATTTGTTTCTCAAAACATACCAATTAGATGAAAAAAACTACAATAAAGAAATTACCTGGTACCTTTAGGAGAAAGTTGCGCAACTTAATGGAACTAAGTACCTCGAAAAAGTAATAAAAAAAGACAAAGCCATAATTTTGTATAACAATGTTAGCAAAATCCTACCCAAATTTCTTTTGCATTATTTTATAAAAGGAATCAATGAGTTATGAAAACCAAAAAAAAGTTTTAAAAAGCAATCTTGATTCAGTTTTTTTACAAGTTGACTTTGCAGAAAACTTCTCAACCTTCTGGCAGGATGAAGTTCAGTCAGCACATTGGAACAAAAAATTAGTAACATTATTTACTGCTGTTAGCTGGCATGGTGACTCTTGTAAATCTGCCATTATTATTTCTGATAATTTGAACCATTCAAGAAGTTCAGTTATTTATTTTATTGACTTGTTAATAACTAAGCTTATTAGAAAGGATGTAAAATACTTGTAAGTTTAGTCTGATGGTCCTAGCAGTCAGTTTAAAAATTGTGACATAGTAGCTTCAATTCCATGGCTTAAAAGCAAGCACAAAATAAAATTTGCTGAAATTACTTAGTAACCTCTCATGGTAAAGAACCATGCGATGGTCTAGGAGTAACCATAAAAAGATTAGCAACGCAAAAAATTGTTTGAAGAGAAGCTCTGATTAATGACGCAACAGCATTTTATAAAGCCGTCAGAGATAAAAGTCAAGTAAACGTTTTCATGGTTGCTGCTGAAAAAATTAAAACTGCTTTTAATGGCACAGCTTGGAAACATCATTAATAATGCTTGTAAAACGCCTGGAATATTTAGTGCCCATTGTTTAAAACAGTAAACTCTGTTGATATAATTATAACGGAGTTTACTGTTTAAAACAGTAAACTCCGTTGATATGGTTGAATTTATAAAACATTTTTAAAATGTTATGAAACTATTATAACACCTTTTAAGTATCCAATACATAACAAAAAAATATTTCAAAATATCCACAAGAGCTGAACTACTGTCATTTCTTCTAAAGAAGGAAAATGCTACATTATTTTTGTCATGTCGTGATGCAACCTTTTAATGCGTATACCTAAAAGTCTATAAAATGTTAAAACTATATAATTTTGTTTTTGGAAACTGTAATGTTTATGAAAATTTTTTAAAATCTTTAATTTTAAAATTTTTAATTTTAAATGCACTAAAATCTGTTGTTTTTCCCAAAAAAAAAGTCAAGTGTCACGCCGTGACAACATGGAATAGCCGTATTGTATTTCCTTTAATTAATGCACTTTGTAGACGCAACTTAGATTTGTTTTTCGTAACACTGAAACCCATTGGAGCACTTAATTTTGGAGTAATTTAAATAATTTTAGTCACATTATATTGTATGTGCTGTCAATGAATCTTGTTGAAAATGGCAACAATTTGTTTATTGTAATTTATTGATTTTTTTTTAATGGAATATGTAACAACCCATTTTTTTGCTTTAAAGATAGTACCTTTACCTCCATATTAGTTGTATTCTTGTCAGTTTCGCTTTTACTTGAAGTTTACAGTGTGCGAGTGTGTCTTTTTGCTATCTTATGATAATCATCATTGTTTGTTTTTTAAAGTTGTTCTAGTTATAGTTGTTCCTTAGCAACATTAGGTTTTTGAAAAATAAATTCTTTTATTCTACTTTCCTTTTTTTTCTGAATTTTATTCTGATATTAGTTTTCTAAATTAATTTCTGATAGTAGATTTGAACTCATACATTCATTTGATTACTGAAATATCAAGAGGTTAGTATAAATATGTTGTATTAGGATCTAGTGAATTTTGAAGGTTATTCATCTTGAGAATTTTTGTTTCTAAAAGTCAATGTTCTAATATGCGTACCTTGAGCCAACCAGATCTTGTGCGGTCATACAACATGCCAGCTTATCTCTTTAACTATATTCTAGACTATTATTTGTAAATGGTAGCTGCTTTATGGACAACATTGGAAATAAAAAAAGTTTTAATGGTATTGAGACAATACATCAACTTGTGCAATGTTTTTGTTACGACATGAACATAGCAAAACAGTTATGTAGGTATTAAGGAGATAATAGTATACTATTATCTTCTTAATACTGACATTTTTTACCTTAGTGAACTTATTATTTATATTAATATAGTTTTATAAAACATTTTTCTTTCTTGTTGTTTTGAAGAAGTTGTAGAACATGTTTTTTGACTTAAACCTGTTGCAACTAAATATAGTTTTTGGGCATTTACCTTCACAGGCCCAACTAGCTTTAGCCAACTTGTGTCCAACTTTTCTTAAATAAAACCGTTAGTCATCCCTTTTAATAACATCGCATAATCTCCATGGGTCATTTTTAAATCATTTTCTTTACATACCTTAACTCTATTTATGCCATTTTGATTGGTTAACTTGCATAACCTGTTTAATAAACTCATCCAACGTGATGTTAGTTTTCTTTTTTTAAGAGCGTTGTAAATGATTTTATTGATAGTAAAACAATTGCTGTTAGGGCTTCGATGATAATGTGTATTTTGCAAGAGTTTTCTTCAATAATGGCATGCACATTATTTATATATATGTATATGTAGTTTTAGGGTGTCCTGAGCAGGTATCTTCTTCGAGACTCTCTCTACTATCTCAAAATAGAGCAGCCCACTATATTCATATTACCATATTTTGTAACTGTACTTTCCTTTTAGTCCTTTGTCACCATTAACTAATACCAATTTATTACTTATGACTTGTGCTGAAACCTGAGTAGAGCACAGATTTTAAATATATGTTTGGTATTCAATTTTTTCTATTTTTAAACTTTTTTTAAAGTTTTATAAAAGTTAAACAACTTTTAATAAACACAATCAAAAAACTTCAACAAGTTTTTTTTATTTTTAATGTTAATTCACCTTATCTAGGCCAAGTAGACCACTACAGACGAGAAGGCTAGTTAATTTTGGTTATACCCTCTCTCAACTCTATAACTTAAAATGCGGTAGTGGTGTAGTGGTAGAGGGCTCGCTTCATAAACAAGTGGTTCCGAGTTCGATCCCCACCACGTCTCTGGTAGTACCGTGCTCAACTCGTTTCTCCGCACAGTGGCCTTGTTCATCAAGGTTCGTGTTTCGGATTTATAGAGTTGAGAGAGGGTTATAACCACAAATAAGTAGCCTCCTCGTTTTTAGTGGCCTTCTCGGCCTTGAGGAGGTGAATTAAATAAAAAAAAAACAACTATAAAACACAAGCCTTGACAGACGAGGGCGCTGCACTTAGAAACTAATACTTAAAATGTCCATAACTAAATACAGTTTAATGTAATATATAAATATTTAATTATTTTTTGTCTTATAACTTTATAGATGAAATTCTACAAACTTTTTTAATGGCTTTTTTAATGTACTAATACATTACTTGTACTTATACATTACTCTTATTAAAGCTTTAATTATTACTTGTATATTTTAAATTTCTTGGTATTTCTGCTCTTAACTTTATTATTCAACATCTTATATGGAATTGTGAACAGTATGGAACACTCATGAATGAATTTATCATTGTAACATTCTTTTAAGGCTCTACCTGCACAAAGCAAAACAGTTATGTATTTAATACATAGCTTACCATGTTATACATTTAATAATACAAATTGATTCTCTACTAGGTACTAGATACTAATTAGTATGGTATCTAAAGCAGTATGTATATACTGCTATTGTGATTATGTATTATAGTTTCTTAAGTAAACAAACAGCAGAATTGACTTTCTAATTTACTTTTGGATCTACTCTTTTTGCAAATTTTCTATAATTTTTAGTCTATTCCACACAGACCAGTTCTATACTTATTTACTTCAATATTTTTTGTAAATAGTATAAAAATAAATTTAAATATTGTTCTTTGAGCTATTAAAAAATACTTAGACTTGTCAGAACCTTCGCGTTGTTTATTTATTTCCATAGAAAAATTCTGAATTTAAGGTCTTTCTACTTTAAGGAAAAACTGTCTCTTTACTGAGTTAAATTTGCAGATTTACCTAATTGATTACATTAACAGATTTACATTCATTACATAAACACAAAACAAAAGTATCTCTAACATAGATGACAATTGCCTGACATTTCTCTCTGTGTTTTTTGAAATTTAAGGCTATAATAAAACTACAACCCTCTCATTAAAACTATAATTATTTACAAAGCAAAAGAGTACACAGAAAATGGATTACGGAGAGCTAATTATGCCAAATAATTTAACTTCTATATTTATGAATGGTAATGTACTCAATGAGTCATCTACCCTTCATCTTCTAGGATTAACTTCTGATCTTTCTTGGAAACCATATATCAAATCCGTTGCAAAATTAGCATCTGCTAAAGTTACATCTTTTTATCGAGCTTGGCACTATCTTAATCTGGATTTTATTCTCTATAAATCTTAAATCTGGCCTTGTATGGAATACTGTTGCCATATCTGGGGCGAATTTTTTAATGATGCCCTTTCTCTTTTAGACAAGGTACAAAAACGCATTGTAAACATAGTTGGACCTGCTATTGCAGCCAACCTTCAAGTATTATCACATCGTTGTAATGTTGCTTCTCTTTCTCTTTTCTAAAAATACTATAATGGACATTGCTCTAAAGAGCTAGCGTCTCTTGTGCCATCTACTAAAATTCATTCTCGTGTTACCCGTCATTCAATTAATTCTTTTTCTTTTTCTGTGAGTGCTCCAAAAACTCTTATTTGTCTATTTTTTTTCCTCGAACAACAGTTCTTTGGAATTTGCTTCCTTCATCTTGCTTTCCTGATTCATACAATTTGCAATCTTTTAAGTTGTCTGTCAATCGTTATCTTGCTCTACAATTTTCACCTTTTCTCTTCCAGTAACTTCCAACACTAATTAGTGGTTGCTTGCAGCCTTGTTGGAAGCAAAGATGTTTAAAAAAAGTTAACTCTATCTATTAGGCTTTTCTTGTAGCAACTTTGTGCAATAAACTCTGATCCTTTAATTAATTTTTAATACCAGTTTTTGCTGTTTTTAATACCAGTTTTTGCTGTTTGTAATACTGGTTTTTACTGTTTTTAATACCGGTTTTTGCTGTTTTTAATACCAGTTTTTGCTGTTTGTAATACTGGTATTTACTGTTTTTTAATACCGGTTTTTGCGAATTACTAAATTCTGACATAAATTTCAGCAAACAAAACTATCAAAGAAGAGTGAGGTGGAATTGTGGGAAAAGTTAATGACTATATCCTTATAATTTTTTAAATAATTTTATTATTATTTAACTTAAATATTAATAGCTTGGAACAGTAAGGTAATATTTATCAAAGGTTCAAAAAAATTTTTTGAAATGAAGATTTTTTAACATAAATACAAAAGTTCAAATGAAAACAGTTTAAGCAAAAAGACTTAATTGTTAGTTTTCCAAGTTTTCTTATATTATGCATACATAATACTTAAATCGGTGTTGTACCCAGTGATAGTTTGGGCGGTACCAGTCCAAAAAACAACAAAAAGGGGCATTTAGAAAAAAGGCTTGCCAATAAGCCCCCACAATCCCCCCATTTCTTCTCCAGTGAGTTTATAAAATTTGTAAAATATAAAACTATATATTATAAATATATAGTTATAAAATGTTATAAAGTATGGATACATGCAAAATGGCGATTTCACCTATACTTTCAGCAATTTAAGTTTAACAAAATGTTTAGTCATATGGAATATTTAAATTGTTTTTTGATACTGTTTATGTGGCATTTATTTACATTAAATTAATTATTGTGAAGATAATTTTATTTGGACACATTAGTTGGGGCACCCATACGGGTCTAATTGTATAGAATTATGTCGGGGTACTGCACTGCCTAAATATACAATCTACAAACTCAACTTATCTAATGTCAGTATTACTTATGTTTACACTTACATATGTTTTGTACATAACGGTATATAAGTGGATTTTTTACATTTGAATATTGTATATACATATTGAAAATTGTTGTTTGCATTTGCATATTACATCTCTATTAATAATAAAACTGTATTTGATTGTAATTTATTTAAATATAATTTTTAATATTGTGTTGTTGTTTTTTTAAGAAAATATTATGGTTAGAATATTATTAAAAGTTTTTTTACATTATACATATATTATACACACTCATTCCATAAACCTACAAACTAAACTTAATCTACTGACATTTACACTTACAGGCTTTTATATGTAACGCTATACAAATGGAATTTTTATATAAACGGTAAATAATAAATAACATAAGTTACATATTCACATATTTACATACATTCATATAAAAAAGTGATGACACTCTTTCTCGCCATTAACTTAGGTTTAATCACTGCTGTGACTTCTGTGTAAACATGCTCAAATGAGCATTAAGTTGCTAATATATATATAGTGTGTGTATAATTATTATAGGGTAATAGTTCTAAATATTGAAGATGAGAATGACAATGCTCCAATGTGGATTACAAATACATCTCTATCTATTCTTGAAGATTATTCAATTAATACTCAAATTTTTGTTATGGAAGCCTTTGACAATGACCTGGGACAGAATGCTGATATAAACTATTATATTAAAGACAATTCAATGTTTCAAATTTCCTCTTCAGGTTTGTTCACTTTTTATTATTTTTTAGTATATATTTTTTAATCTTTTAATAAGTGAAAATATCTATTGATTGGACCATTTATGTAGGAAATTACATAAATAAAAAATTTAATTTTTTATGGATTATCAGCTATTTTTTAGTAAATAAAATATTGCTAAACTTGAGGTTTAGTTTTACATAACTTAGCATAATTATAACTATTTAACTAATGATAATAACATAGTTATAACATAGCATAGTCATTACTATTTTAGATTCCTATAATAATGAATGAGTTGCATATAATATGAAATAATGAATGAATGAGAATAATTGAATGAGTTGCATATAATATGAACCTTTTCTCTTCTTTAAGTCTTTATTTTTTTATTGTTCTTTTTTACTTTAATAGCACATTCTTGTGCTTTTATTGTTTTTTGTGTTCTAGTGTTGTTCTTTCTTTTGTTCTAGCGTTAAAGTTCATGCTGTAATATTTTTTAATTTAGATTTTAAAAAATATTAATGACATTTTTTTACAGGTTCAGTTTCCTTAAGAAAAAGTTTGGATCGGGAAACTAAAGACATTTATAATTTGACAATTTTTGCACGTGATAATGGAGACGTACCTCTTGAAAATTTTATTACTGTTAATATCACAGTTTTAGATGTCAATGACAATTATCCAATTTTTAATGAGGATGAATTGCATGCAGAAATAAAAGAGAACTGTAAAGGAATAAGTGATTTAGTGAAGCTTCAAGCAACAGATCAAGATATTGGTAGTAATGCACAGATATTGTACTCTCTTCAACATGACTTATTTTCGATTGATTCTATAACTGGGCAAGTCAAAGTTCTTCGAGCACTAGATCGTGAAGAAATAAGTCAATATAATATTACAGTTGTTGCCAGAGACAAAGGGAATCCGTCACTGCACACAGAAGCTTTTTTAATTGTGTATGTTTTAGATATGGATGACAACTGTCCAGTATTTACCTCGTCTTTTTATAAAGAAACAATTTTAGAAAATCTACCATATGGAACGTTCATTTTGCAAGTGACAGCTACTGACAAAGATATTGGGGCAAATGCTGATTTGAACTATGGCATTCTAGAGAGCAATGATCGTGGGGCATTTAAAATAGACTCTGTTTCAGGCTGGATTACTGTTATGACTTCAGATAAAGTAGATCGTGAGTTTTCAGAAGTATATCATCTTTTAATAAAAGCAGGCTCTACCTCATGTGGATATACTGAAAGTGACAATGTGGGTGAAGAGGGGGAAGTAAAAAATAATTACACAGTAGCAAATGTCTATATTACTGTAACAGATATAAATGATAATGCACCAATAATTTTAAATGTTGAAAACAAAATCTATTATGAAAATGTTCTCACAACAGATATTGTTGTTGTGAATGCAACTGATAAGGATTTAGGAAAAGGTGGAGAGGTAGGCATAGTTTCTTTTTTTTTTTTACATTTTTTTTTTCTTAATACTTGGAGTTATTGTATTGCTAATAAGTTTTTTTTTGTAAGTTTTTTAAAAATTGAATTGCTAGTTCTTGTTGTTGAATGCAAGGCCGGCGCGATAGGGGGTGTGACACCTCCCCCCCCCCCCATCCCCATCAATGATTTTTAGTTGGCAAATCAGACCCTTAGTCGGCAAATCGGACCCTTTTAGACTAATTAGTTGGCTAATGTTGACCCTTTCGATATAGGTTAGTCGGTAATCTAGACAGTCGGCAAATGTCGTCATGGCAGTTGGCAAATTTTGGAAAACGAGGACCTTTTTTTTTTTTTTCGGCAAAATGTAATGGCACCCCCCCTATCCCACGTGAGACCTACTCGCGCCGACCCTGGTTGAATGGCTTCTTGTTGTTGGAATCTAAAGAAAAATGTTTTTTTTGTTTAATTCCTTATCTCAACATTATTATTGAGTTTAAATCAAAAAATTGGTCTGGCATATTTCATTTAAAATTTCAAATAATATCTGGAAAAAAAATTATTAGGGAAAAAAATTTTTTGTGCTTTGAGGATTGTAATTAGAATGATCAATTAATAATTATAAATAACTTTTTTTTAAATAATAAAATTTTGTTTTTTCTTTAAACTTTTGTTTTTTAGTTTCATGAACAGTCAGCTATGATGCCTGTTACTAGTTTTTTTTTTGCTTGTCTCTCTGTTTTCAGCTAGCTAGTGCAATTTTGTAATAACATATATATGGTTGAATATTTTTAATCATTAGTTTTATCTTCATTTGACCTGAATAGACAAAAAAAAATTCCCATAATTTTTTTTTTTAGATTGAATTTAGTATAATACGAATTGACCAGAAAGTTGTTTCTAATCAAGTTCAGAATCATGTGATGGTAGGTGTATCAGATAAAGGTGATAAACCTTTATCAAGCAACGCCACTTTTATTGTTATCAACACTGTTACATGTGATGCTATGTATTTTTCTATCACTGAAGTTGGTCTTTTGAAAGTAAGCAGTTTATGCTCTGTGCAAAATCAGAATTCGCAATCTGAGATTGTAGTTTTGGTAAACAATTCAGTTTCTTTGTCATGCATTGCAACTGGTAATTCTCCTGTAATCTATCGATGGTCAAAAGACGGAAGTCTTATTTCTGGGTGGTCTAATGATGGTAATATATCATTGCCATCAGTAAAACCTGATTATGAAGGATCCTATTCGTGCATTGCATCAAGTAAACCAGGAGTTATTCAGTCAAATGTGACAAAACTGTTAATACATGGTGAGCATTGTTTAAAGTTCTGCAAATTGATTATATATATATATATATATATATATATATATATATATATATATATATATATATATATATATATATATATATTATATACATATATATAATATTATATAAAATATTATGTAAAATAAATAATAAGAATAAGAATTCAACTCTTTTATAATATAAGAGTTTAATTATTATGTTAAAACTATTACTTTATGACTTCATGTATGTTAAATAATTTTTTTTAAATATATTTTATTATTATTTAAATTAATTAAATGAAAACAACTCTTATTCAAAGACAAATATATATAACATTTTTTTTTTTTTACAATAAAGTGACTGAAAAATGATGAAAATCCAAAATTTAAAAGACTATACTCTCAAAACTAAAAGGTTCTCTTGATAAAGTTCAAACTCAAAAAATATTATTCAATTGAAATTATTATTTTTTTTAAATGTAAAGTTGGAAATTCAACAAACTTTTTAATTTTTTACAGTTAATTTTACGTTCGTTTATTACTAAAGCGATTTTGTATCACTTAATATGAAAAAGCATAACTTAGAAATGTATTTCACGCAATTAATAAAGAAACACACAACATATAGAGAGGAAATGTATCAAAATGTTATGTACAAAGAAAAATAGTTTTAAAAATGGGTATAAAAAAGTGCTTAAAGACTAAAATGTTTTTAAAAAAACCATGGTAACCATGGTACATCAAAAGTACTTGTAAAAAAACTTCTTTTCTGTTCCTCGTTTTCTTTTTTTTTTGACTTGATGTTAACAACATTTTTTGTCATTTCCAATGTGTAAGGTCCCTCAGCCATAAAAATTGCCTCAAGACAAGCGCCAGATTTTTTAAACTAAAAATAAATTTTCACTAAAATAAAAACTAGCTATCAAAGTTTCAATCCTCTCTTACAAATGTTTTTTTAAATAGAACTTTAGGGCAGAAACAAAGAGCATTGTTTGCAAAAGGTTTATAACACAAAATCAACGTCTCAGTCATCTGAATTCATTTTGGCAACATTGTTTAAAACTAAAAGGTAGTTAATGACATCTATGGAACACTCTATAGATGTCGTTAACTACCTTTTAGTTTTGTATGGAAAAGTTGTCTGGAACCGTTTTTTCTGTGAACAGAAAATCTAGATACTTTCATTTCATCAAAAATAACAATTTAGTATGAATAGCTGACACGATTTCGGTCTAAGGTTGTTTTTTATTATAACATCTTGCTGCCACAATTGATATTGCTTCAATAAGATCCTTAAGGGTAACCTCAATGATTATATTATTTGCTTACATTAATCTTTAAAAGTGTTTATCAAAATTCGTTTTTATATAAGTTTTTTGTTAATTAAGTATGCTCAATATTATATTTAAATTAATTTAAATCTGTTATAAAAATTAAAAAAAATATTTCATTGTTAAAAAAAATCATTTTTAATTATAAAGTAATAAAACTTCACAATTTTTATTTCCTCATTGTCATATACATCATCTGTTAAAATGTTGTTGTCATCCTCATTATCGTTTACATTATTTGTTAAAATGTTGTCGCTGTCGAGTGTTTCAAATCTAAAATTTCACCACATAGAATATTGCTTGTTCTTCTTAACTCTCTAAAGTACTTTTTATTTTTTTCATCTAGTCATTTTTATTTATTTCTGTGAACTCTGCACTATCTTTTTCCTCCATAAATATTTTTCTATACTTTATTTGGTCTTGAAAGAGTTCTGGATCATTTTCACTAACTTTTAAAATCATTCTTGGTTACTCTTGTTTTATGATCAAAATATTTAATTTTTAAAATTTTTAAAATATTATTTAATTCTGACTTTAATTACTCTACTAGAATGTTATATGTTCTCAAGTATTTTTATTTTTTTCAGCAATTTAGTGTATTTCTTAATGAACTTTTCTAATTTTAATGTATTTTTTAATGAACTTCTCTAGTTTTAGGGTATTTCTTAATGAACTTTTCTAATTTGTCACTGATTAAGTAATACAAATAATTATTTTATCGTTAAAAATTACAATTACAAGTCGATTATGAAATTATGATGAATAAAGAAAAATTCTTTTTATGTTTACTAATTATCTAACGTAAGCTATAAATTATCTTCTAAACCTGCGGTACAGATTTCGATCGTCGATATCAAAATGTTTCATTAAAAATGATAAATGCATACTCTCGCGTGCTTAATGCACGGGAGAGGGCCTATATTCTATATTGTTGTAAAAACAAACATTGTATAAAAACAATGTATTGTTTTTCATAAAAATAATAACAAAGACAGAAAAGTAATAAAAATACAAAAGATTGCTGGTATAAATTTTCAAAAAAATCTTCTTTTCTATGGAACAAATTCCAAACTTTTGAGGGTGTAGTCTTTTTTCTTTTTTTCATAAAGTAAGAAATTTATCATTATTTGTAATTTTTTTAATGTTGTTTATCTATGAACTTTTTTCTCATTGGTTGTTTTGTAATATATTAATTAAATTTGTAATGTAGAAAAACCCTCCATTCTGAAACAACCTACTAACGTTGTTGTAAACGAAAGGGAGACTGCTATTTTAACAGTCAAGGCTACCGCAAATCCACGTCCAACATATCAATGGTTTAAAAATGATTTACCGATAAAACATGCAACTCAAGATGAATTTGTTTTGGAATCAACAATACCGGCGGATTCTGCTACTTATTTTTGTAATATTACAAACAACCAAGGACAAGTTCAGTCCGAAAAAGTAAAGATAAACGTTGTTAATCGGGAAAGCGTGGTTGAACTAAATATAAAGATATTAAAACCAAACATTAAAAATATGTGTTTTGATTTTTTCTTAGAAGATTTTGAGGAGCAAGCTAAAGTTATATTAAATCGACCACTGTTTGTTACAAACTTTCGAAATACCGATGACATAAAAAAACTTTGTAACCGAACAGCTTGCAGTAAAAATCCTTGCCGAAATAAAGGTTTATGCGAAATCATAGATACCGGGTTTCAATGTGTTTGCACAGACTCCTGGCAAGGTCAAACATGCGAAGAAAACGTAAATGAATGTGCTCCGGATTCGAACACTTGTAATAAAGGAAATTGCACTGATCTAGTCGGTTCGTTTAGCTGTGCTTGTCCGCAAGGAAAGTCTGGAAATCGGTGTCAATATAGTTCAAATGCATGCCAAAGTAACAAGTGTATTGAAAAGAATGAAGTTTGCGTACCTTCCAAAAGCAACCTTTTCCGGTGCATCAATAAATCTAACATAATGACGCTGATATCAAAACCCATTACGAATTGGAGTCTTCAAACTCAATACGATTTGGAACTTTCTCTTAATCGCATAATAAAGACAATGATCACGTCCGTACCTGCAGATAGAAAACGGAAAAGGAAAGATATTTCTGTCGTGGATTTCGGGCACTGCATTGTACATGTGATAGATCACGTTTTAGAAAATGATGAATCAAAAGTGTTTTTTATACTTGATTGCACAATTAGTAAGTTGGGTAGCAATAAATCGGCCATCTTTTTTTTACCTGACGTTGTAAAAGAATTTTGTTTGCAATTACTTTCCAGCGACGATGCTTTTAGTCAGTGCGGACAACTTGATGAATTTATGCATAAACCTGTATTGCCAAAAATGACGACATTAAACGCCAACGTTCACTTTGTTATAAAAGATGACAACGAAAAAATACTACCAGCTGATAAAGCCATTCAAATCATGACGGAAAATGATTTCGCTTATCGTTTAGAAAAATATAATTATAAAGTTACAAGTTTTTGGAGTGCTCACGATAAACCAATACAAGAAAAAAAAGGACGAACTCTCATGATAGCTCTTTCCGCTTCCTGCGCTGTCGTTATATTAGCTGTTGTTTTTGTGTTTGTTTACCAACGCCGTTGCTTAAAATCAAACGATAAAAATAACCAATCATCTATAATGTTTCAGCGATCTATGATGGTGCCCAACGCTAGTACTTCTAATCTTATTCCTGATTATACAAGCAAAAGAAACAAGGTTTTTGATGAAAAAAACGAAGTTGTTAATGATGATGCATTCATGTCTGAAGTGCCGACTGAGCTTATTTCAAAAAAATATTAAGATTGATGTAAATTTGAACAAATTTTGCTAATTTTGTAATTATTTTTTAGTATGAAAACGTTTTTTAGTATGTAAAACGTGGTTTTAATTTTTTTTTTACTGCCTAAACTAGAAAGATGCGTAAACCTCGTCTGAGTGTATTACCATGGCACTGTTAGCACGGATCCTTATAATGCCTACCTAGCTGTCTCAAGAACGCCACTTATACGGAAAGTTAGCGTACTCATCAAGGTACCCTGTGATGCAAATTTTGAAATCATTTAATTTTGTCCGTGGAAAATAATTTAATTTGAATGTTCAAATTAAGTCAAATTTTGACTTCATAGTACGCCAATAAAAACGCTTGTAGAATTGGAACCACTCAATATAATTTAATAACAATTGGTGCAAATGCAGCCAATAGTCATAGCAAACTATAGACAAAATTTCAGCCTGATTGGATGACTGGTGTAGGATTTATTGCAGTTTTAATTAAAATTTTGTCATTTTTTTTGCTACTTATACCTCAAAGCGTTACCAATTACTTTAAAAACCGTTCACTATTTTTAAAATAAAGGTTACATGAGTGTTCTACTATGTAATACCAACAATTTTTGTTATAATTATTTTATCTGCACATGTACAGTTTTCATTTTATAGGCCAAAATAGTAATTTTCTACTTAAAGCGTGATTTAAATAGTCTTATGCTAATAGTGTCGACACGCCCTTCAAAGTGGAGGGGGTCAACCCCTCAATTTCTAAAGTAATTGCCTATAATTTTAAAACAAAAGGTCCTCGCAAAGAAAAAGTAGAGAAGGACATGACCCCCTAGCCTCCCCGGCGTTGACGGCTATGTATGCTTCGCTTGAATATATTAACATTTATTAAGGTATAAACTGCTGCCAAAAAAAAATAAAAAGGTGCAAAACCTGGTCAAAGGACTAGGTACCAGTTAGTAAAACAAAACAAAAAAGTAGATCTAAAATTTTTTGTATTGACCTCTCTACACACATTTAATTTTAAAATGAAGTGAAAACTATTTAAACCCTATTTTTTACATTGTATTACCATCAAATATCTAATTACATTTTAAGAAATGTTTTTTTGATTTTCTCCACCAAAAGATTATTAATAAATAGCTCAATGTACTCTTTTAATACAAATTCTTTATAATACTACTTTGAAAGATAGTGAAAATATTCATTAAACGCCGTAAAATATGAATTTCAGCAGCCTACTTTCTAATAACTCAAATGATGTTCTTTAAAGATGCTAACTGTTTAGATCAATTATGCAGCGCAACAATCTTTCTTTGTACTCTGGATGATTTTTATTTCGTTTATACCTCGACCAATGTTGATAAAAATCTTGATGAGAAGTTTCGACAGTTTGTTCAATATAGGGCCCCAAGGGTTTTACTTTGTGACTGATGAAATCCTTGATGTGGTAGAAGACGGCGTGAATTTTGGGTGTTACGCTTGCACCAGTTATCATTAGGTAACACTTTTTGAAATTTTCAATTTTTTTAGAGAAATCCGGCTGAAGGATGTATCCAAAGCAAGCCTTGACAACTAAATTGAAGCTTTTGAATGCTTCAATTATGCACACAATATTGGAAACCATGTTTGTCTCAGCAAGTTGCTGCAGCATATCCACATTTTTAAGAAACTTCCTGCATCCATTTCCCTCAAGCTGGCCCCCGTGATACGGGCTCAGTTGAATGTGGAGGGCGGCTGGCCACTTAACAGTTTCTATCCAAGCAGTTTTAAGGATATTGAAAAGATTGTTGACAACTCCTAAGAGATGATGCAAATTCATCGGTGGAATGATTTCCAAAATCATAACATTAAAAGGCCTGCAGATGATTGGCTTTTGAATAACATTGCCGAACAGCTTTGCATTAGCAACAACCCTGCTAGATTGCTGAAAAGACTCAAGGCTTGAATTAATTGAGCCCAGTGTTCGCAAGTTTCCAGATTTGGCAAAACAATTGCATTTGAGTCACACAAGGTGCTAGGGTGTGTACTTGAATTAGTTTGTGTCTGTCTCTTGACTCCAGTGTCTTTACCAGTCCTTTGAGTGAGAGGTTTTTGTTGGTGCGGTGAGCTGTTTTCATCCCTTAACGCTGTATCAACAATGCTTAGGCAAAACTTGAGAAAACCTTTGCCTCAATAAATCCCGAGCTTAACAAAATAGCCACCAGAAATTTTCTGGGACTGAATAACATGATTCACAAGACTTAATAAATCATTGCAGTGACCAACAACATAAACCGTACAAGGATCTGTTTTTTCGTCTGTGATTTTTGAGTCGCTGCAGGTGAAGAAATCGCTCAATTGTTGACCTAGTCTTAGAAAATTCATGTAGAAATTTCACTCTACCATCTTGCTGCTTGATGTTTTTTTTTACAGTTTTAACAAGTTTCTTTAATCCGTTGTTTGACAGACCCGTATTTAATTGCACATTTAAAAGGGCTAAAATGGTCAATTTCGGAGCACTTGATGGTGTCTACGCACTACTTTGACCTAAAACCAAAACATACATATTTTATAGTTACAAAGTAATTCTATACAATTCGCAGAATCCTTTTGGTACCCGAGTATCACTGATATTGATCATGATCTTGTACAGTTGTCATATTCGATCTGGTTGAAAAGAAGTATGCATTTTTTTAGACAGAGAAAGCACACAAACTTTCGATTTTCATCATGATTCTTTGCTTGATTTGGCATTGTGGCAATTCACTAAATTTGACTTCACTAAATCAAACTCTGCCTTTTACAAAATTTGACCTAAATTTATATTTGATATCAATCCACTTAACATAGTAACACATATTATTAATTAAAAACTATTAAAATAAAAGGAAATATTTACTTTATTTAATTGAGGTAATATTAAATTACAAGGAAATAATTCTTGAACAGTTCTTTCCTTACCAGGAAACAATTGTTTAAACTATTTACTTGTAAGGAAAGTACATTATTGATAATTGTCACACTTATTAAACTAATGATACTTGTCACACGGGTTGTTTTATTTAAAACAACCCTTCAACCTAATTAGTAATTCAGTTAGAGTAATTTTCCTCTGACTGGCCTTCCAAACTTTGTATTGGTCAGTTATCTTAGTTAACTTATCTAAACTTTTTAAGTCAATTATCTTGGTCAAAATAAAAAATATTTGGTTTTTTTACAGTTGTTCTGTTTTCAGATAAATAAATATTTTTATTTTCTATGTAGGTATCTCTAGAAATCCTTTTTAACCATTTTTTTAGAATTTTTTTGCATTCTGGAAGTAGTTTATACCTTAGGAAATGTTGGTCTATTCACGTTATGCATACATGGCCGTAAAGGGAACCATGGCTAACCCACTTTTTTTTTTGCGAGGACCTTTTGTTTTAGAAATATAGCCAATTATTTTAGAAATTATGGATTTTATTTTAGAAATTGAGGGGTTGACCCTCTCTATTTTAAAAGCCGTGTCAACGCCATTGGCATAAGCCAATTTAAATCACGCTTTAAGTAGCAAATCACTATTTTGGTCTATAAAATGAAAACTGTACATGTACCAATAAAACAATTATAACAAAAATTGTTGGTATTACTTAGTAGAAGTAGTAACGGTTACATGAGTAATACCCATGTAACCGTTATTTTACAAATAGTGACCGAATTTCAAAGTAATCGGTATCGCTGTGAGGTATAAGTAGCAAAAAACTGAAAAAACTTCAACTAAAACTGCAATAAATCCTACACCAGTCATCCAATCAAGCTGAAATTTTGTCCATAGTTTAGTGTGACTATTGGCTACATTTGCACCAATTGTTATCAAATTTATTGAGTGGTTCAAATTCTACAAGTGTTTTTATTAGAGCACTATGAAGTGAAAATTTGACTTAATTTGAACATTCAATTTAAATTATTTTCCGCGGACAAAATTAAATGATTTCAAAATCTACATCACAGAGTACCTTGATGTATACGCTAACTTTCCGTATAAGTGACGTTCTTGGGACAGCTAGGTAGGCATTGTAAGGATCCGTGCTAACCGTGATGCTAGTATTGTATTTGGAAGTGCAACGCTATTGAAATTTCTAAAACTATACGTGAAATCTTTTGTTCATAATACAATAAAAAGTCGTAAACAATTTATTTTAAATCGGACAGCGCTTCTGAAATATTTTTATTTTCTAAGAGGTTTTGAATAGATAAGACGCTTTTTATTTTGTCGTAAGTTTTTGAGCTATTTTTTTTATTTTGTTTTTTTCTATTAACATTTTCTTTCCTTCTTACTATTTTTCTTCTTCTAAATACACATTAATATTCATTACCTTATACTATATTATAATACATTATATCGACTAAAGTCAATCGCTTCGAACTGACTATATAGTAACTAAATATATAGTGTTTTTATTTCTATTTTATTTTTATTGCTCGTATCTATATTTATATATAAATATATGACTATATTATAAATAAACTTTATTATTCGAAGATTTGATTTGCGCTTATATTATTAAAGTAACAAGTTTTTAACTTGTTTCTTCAAAACCTATTTTAATTATTTCATTTTTATTTTATTTTAAAAGTTTTTCAACTTTCTTCGTAGTTTTTTTTTTTATAGTTGCGTTGCACCTGATTCTTAATCTGTTTGTTGTTTTCGGATTAATTTTTGAACATAAAAATAATTTGTGTGTGTGTGATTGTGACAAACATTAATAATATATATAATTACATATACGGAAAAACTGTTGTTATATATAAAAACATATAAGTATTTTTTATATATATATATATACAAAAATTATATATAAAATATCCTTTCAACTATCCACCAAATTTGTTATCCAACCACAGCATTTATCCGAAGCATAAACCTTAAATCCAATATTCAGTCATCTAATTAGATCCTTAACATTCCAAATGTCCGCCAACGAATTGTATGAAACATCGTCCATTTTAACCTTCTTTAAACCCAATAGACCTGCTTGAAAATTTGCCGGGTCCAGGAAAGGCAAGGCTGCTTATTTACCTAAAAGATGTGACGCCATGATCCGCTCTCTAGCTACAACAGTCATATTACTGCTTGAAA